GGGGGGGGGGGGGGGGTTGAGAACCCTGTACACATACCTCTATATCTGCCTCTATCTTCCCAAAGCTCGGGGAAATAATAATATACATAATAACCAAAAATTTAGCCCTGCTATCATCCCTGCAGTAAACTCTAAAAATATGAAATAATTACCATCTAGTTCCGCCTTTTGATGGAATGATGAGCGTCACCTGCAGAAAACAAGATGTTGCAATCAGCATTTCATTCAAATAAGCTAGTCTAAAAACATGCAACTCACCCTGTCATATCAATATAATGCAGAGATACTAAAAGGTGCAGTTAGAACAGGCCACAAAACAGAGGAATTGGCAGCATTACTTAGAAACGACTATTTGTTGAACCATTTGGGAATCAAGAATACAGAGACGTGACAAATCTACAGGGATACATTTTNATACCTCTATATCTGCCTCTATCTTCCCAAAGCTCGGGGAAATAATAATATACATAATAACCAAAAATTTAGCCCTGCTATCATCCCTGCAGTAAACTCTAAAAATATGAAATAATTACCATCTAGTTCCGCCTTTTGATGGAATGATGAGCGTCACCTGCAGAAAACAAGATGTTGCAATCAGCATTTCATTCAAATAAGCTAGTCTAAAAACATGCAACTCACCCTGTCATATCAATATAATGCAGAGATACTAAAAGGTGCAGTTAGAACAGGTCACAAAACAGAGGAATTGGCAGCATTACTTAGAAACGACTATTTGTTGAACCATTTGGGAATCAAGAATACAGAGACGTGAGAAATCTACAGGGATACATTTCAATAATCAACCTTTCCTATATTTGACTACCTTCTACTGAAACTGAGGAAACCACATACCTGTCTGTACACTGCTGCTTCGAGGGCATGCCCACCCAAACTGGGCAGGACCAGCCACCCCAAGAATTAATCAATTAAGAGTGCTTCATTCAAGTCTAGAGTTAGTGGACCTGACATACAAACTAGTGCTCCCTGCTTGCAGAAGCTGTGACTGTGGCTGAGGATGCTGCGGAGGCAACTGCTGTAGTGTTGATTGCTGTTGCTTTTGTAGCTGCTGCAGCTGTTGTGTGGGTGGTGGTGAGGGGGGAAGATGCAGTTGTGATGACTGCTGCTGCCACTGTGCTTCAACTTCATGCCCAAGAGGGGACAAGCTGCCAGATGATTGCCTCTGGCTTAGTCCGTGGCTGTCCGCGGGCGTAGTCTCACTCCCAGCAGAATTTGTCAAAGGGGGGGACCCAATAGAACCCAACTGTGTAGCAGGATTAGGCGTACCAGAATCATATAATCGTTCAGATTCTTTCCATTGAGGATCATTAGTGGAAGAAAGAACTGGCATTACATTAATCGCATCAACACAGGACTGAGGCATTGTCATCATCACACGCATCTGAGATGGGCTGTTGACAGAGTTCTGGTCAGCTTGAACATCTCTGGCCTGCAGCTTTCTTGCAGGGTCAGCATTCACTTGGCGATTTTGTTGAAGCACTCTCTGAACATTTAATTGAGATTGATTCACCAACTTTTGGTGATGCTGTGGCACAGGTTGTGTCTGCTGATGATTGGAGGAGGCCATCCCCAATGATGATACAGCTTGATGGGAAGCAGAAGATGTAGGACCAGAGGTGACAGGTGGAACATGACCTAGATTGCTAGTGTCAACGTTTAAAGGCATCTGCTGAATTTGCTTTGATGAAGGAGGTATCTGGCCAGAATATATCTTTTGCTGAGGCTGGGACTGATTTGAAGTCTGAGGGTGCACCAACGGCTTGGATGGTTGAACAGGGTTTAGCCCTGACGCAGAATATAAGCCTTGACCTTGAATCAAATGTATAGCCTGCTCCCCTTTTTCTGTAGATTGGCTTCCTGGAGCTGTTGAAAGGCCATTCAGGAGGGAGGGATCCATTGGAAGGTGCTGATTAATCATGTTCCCTCTTCCAACTCCCTTCACAAGTTTGGTCTGCTGTTGAGACTGTGACAGTTGGTGAGGATGGTGCCTGCCACCAGGTTGAAACTGTTGCTGCTGCTGCTGCTGTGGTTGACGTTGTCGTTGCTTGCCCATCTGATTGGTCAACCCGTAGCCTCCAGGTTGAGTATTACGACCAAGCCCAGGAGGCGTCATCTGATGTTTTTGCTGGTGCTGGGACATTGGAGTCATTGAGGATGTCGACGTCAATGGTGACAGTGATACAGTTGGGGAAGTTTGTGATTGGGAACTATTATGCAGAGGAGATGATATAGGCAGCTGGGCCTGTGGCTGTACATGTGGCATCAAAGCACTGGGCGCAGAAAATTGTTGCTGCTGCTGCAGCATTCGCTGCTGCAGGTGCCTTTCTTTAGCCAAGTGAATTGCAAAGGCTTGATGCCGCATGTTGGGAGAATGACTGGGTCCCTGAAGATGGGAATGATGAGAATTGTTGAGCACATGGTTTTGTTGTGGGGTCATTGGTTGTGGTTGCTGGTGATGGAGTGAGCAAGACTGAACAGCTGGAGGGACCACCTGATTAGAGAAATTGGAACTTATCCCACCAAACGGAGGGACTCCTTGGCTGTTTCCTTGTGAGACCTGCAACTGAATGTCTGGCACCATCATTTGCCTTTGAGGTTCCAAGCTCTGGCTAGGCTATCAAAGCAAATGAACATGTTATCTACAAAACTGGATAAGGAAAGGCAATAGTTACAAGTGAAGAATTTGTCAAAAGTGCAGCACTATACCATCGGATGACTATATGACATCACTTCAGAACAGATTTGGGGGCAGAAAAAGGGTAAATCAAATATTTCAGAGACTGATGAAAAGAAGATGAAATCTTTTCAACTCAATATTATTCGCACCAGAACATGTGAAGGGTCAATATTGCAAACAAATCCATTAAAATTCTGTATCAAGAAAAACNAAAAGGGTAAATCAAATATTTCAGAGACTGATGAAAAGAAGATGAAATCTTTTCAACGCAATATTATTCGCACCAGAACATGTGAAGGGTCAATATTGCAAACAAATCCATTAAAATTCTGTATCAAGAAAAACAAATATAAATTTACTGCCCTAAAGCTAACTAGATGGGATGAAAATTATATTGGATACAACATAGTAGCCAAATGTCATTCGGTGTCTTCAGGCTGTCTGTGAGGTTTATTGGCAGCCCAAATCTAAATCTGATNAAGCTAACTAGATGGGATGAAAATTATATTGGATACAACATAGTAGCCAAATGTCATACGGTGTCTTCAGGCTGTCTGTGAGGTTTATTGGCAGCCCAAATCTAAATCTGATGGTAACAAAGGCAAATGCTTCCAAGCTAGACACCAAAAACATAAAAATGACTTCTAATTTTACTTCAAAATTTAGCATGCATGTTGGGTTTAATAAATGAGGGGATAAAATGTCATATAACTAATAAGGCACTCATCCTAACAACATCAACTGCTTGCACTTTGATGGCCTAATTCTTTTATGGAATTATGGTTCTAAAGGTTGAACCTGAACAACAATGATAATGTCTATTCTTGCACTCCATTTGATGTTGAACAAGGGTATAATAGGTCCCGTCCAACATGGTGCATTAGCGAGAAACCGCANATGATAATGTCTATTCTTGCACTCCATTTGATGTTGAACAAGGGTATAATAGGTCCCATCCAACATGGTGCATTAGCGAGAAACCGCAGTGTGTACAATTCATGAATGTTGGACAAACAGGCAAGATCTGCATTTTCTTCAAGAAAAAAGGGAAAATAGAATAAATACACGTGAAACAAAAGGGATAATAGACATCAACGATGGCTGAACACCAACTAAACACTTGAGTTTAAAGAATTCCAACTCTTTAAGCATCAAAATGTTCTGCTTGCAATCTAAACTTTTACTAAAAAAAAATCTCTATCCTAGGAAGAGGAAAGAATGAGAAAGATTCAAAAACTTAGATAACTCACCCGCATCAAATGCAAAGCATCACGAGGTCTCAACTTGGAGCTCCCTTGCCCAGAACCAGCTCCAGAGTGCACATTTACAGGACTCGGCATCGCTACCATACCAGAAGAAAGCATACTGCTGGAATTCAGCATAGATGATGAGGAAATTCCTTGAAACGGCGGCCTTGTCATTGGCATGCTTCTATTCAACCCAGATATAATGCCCATACCAGTGCCACCAGGTAGCATACGAACCCCACGATCGGTTCCTGGAGGAACTCCAGGACCAGATAGACTGGGTTGCTGAATGTTCTTACCAGATAACATTTGATTATACTGATGCATTCTCTGCTGTTCATCAATTGATAAAGATGCGGTTCGGGGGATAGCATACCTACCATCCCTAAGAGTGCAATACCCAGACACAACCATATACAAGATCAAGATATGATAACAGAACAGAAGAAGAAATTTCAAGCCAATTATAGCATATTACCTAACAGAGGCATTGACTGGACCAGATGGCGATGAATAGTTACTGCCAAGTATCATATTAGAAGACCCTTGTACTGGGGAATTTTCACCAGAAGCAGGAAGCATTTGTGCTACGGTACTCTGATTCGGAGTACCTAACCCGTTAGTGTGAAGGCATTGACCATCGGGGCTAGGTACAGTTGCATCACAGAGATCCAGAGGCCTGTATTGGAACAAATAAAAGAATAGAAGGCTGATATAACATTGCTTGAGCAAGATAAAAGCCATTAGACACTTGTTTTATGCATAAAAAAAAGACATGATGTATATACATGAATGGCATTGTATAGCATGAGTAGAGGCTACACTATTAAAATGCAATTACAAAAATAGAAACCAAACATACATTAAAATAGGGCCGCCATTCAGATTACTTGGGCAAACTTGGGAAAGAGCAACTGTATGAGAACCATGAGGTTGCTGAAGTTGTTTTGGCTCCTGGTTATCATTCTTGAAAAATAGAAGACAAGAAAACGTAGATAAGAACAAATTCATAGCTTGTAAAGAGAGCAGCAGCTGAAATTAGTGAACTTAATTCAAACTTTTCCTTACTACCAAGCAAAATTTTCAAAATCACAACTCAAAAATAAAATGCAAAAAGAACCAGATTTTAGACAGGCCACATATTCTTCCAAGAAAAAATATTGTGAACATCATGGCAACAAAGTAATACATGGTGTTCAGTTTTATGCTAACTATCAAATTGAAGCATGAGAGTCAACTTATGGGAAAATTAAAACAAGAACTCTCATAAAAAGCCTAAGATGCACTAACTTGGGGAGATAATACTGGAAAAAATGCTGGAAAACAGCGCCTTCAGGAAACAGAACAATTATTGCTAGAAGGACACAAATAGGCTACAGGCAATGCACTAGAAATTGCATCAGAATGTAACAGAAGTATAGTATTGTGGACAAATATATACCTGAGACCTCCGGTAAAGGTATTTTTGTCCAATCATAATGATTTTCTCAAAATGAGATTTGAGGGTGTCCTCTTCCATGGGACCCTGCAGACGCTGGAATAATTGCCTGGCACTGCCCTGTGTACCATGTAACACAAACAGCCAGTCAAAGCAGCTAATTAACTCAATGACAGCAGGTAGGATTGATAGCACTATATATTGGACACCGAAAAAAGGTTAAATTTGCAAGAGAACCTTTGGAATTCCAGGTAAAGTAGATGGATAAGGCTGAGAAGACCCTGAATCCTCAGCACTATCAGCCCCATCACCAGCAGTCCTATCCATCAATAATTTGTGACGATCCTTGCACTCTTTAGGCTTCCGAAATATACACTGCATATCTCAGAGAAGAAAATATAATTCGCACGATTAATGTCCCCTTCTATATAAAGGGAAAAAAATACACCCATTAATAAAATCAGACTGCAATAAATTTTGCAATAGAAGCTTCAAGCAAATAAAACAACAAATTACAGTAGGAAAAATAAATAAAGAATTCTGAGTAAGTTTACCTTGAACTGCAAAGTACTATTGATAGCATCACTTACAAGCTCCCAACTTGGACCCATATCATGTACGAGGACAACAAGTGCCTAGCATGTAAAGAAAAACCCTTTTATTCATGCAATATTATATATAGCAAAAGGATAACTTTTTACGCTGTTGAGTGTAAAACGAATGTCAACCTGGTCTTCAAATAGTGACCATGGACTTCCTGAACCTGGCTGTCCAGCTGGCACCTGCAAAATTGAATGCTCAAATTCATCAATAACTTATCTTCAAATAGGAGAGTAGCAACAATGAGAACAGGCTGAGAGTACAACGCTGACAAGGTGATCTCCATAATGTACCTTCAGGCCCTTGGCTTTCCTACCCCGATCCCGACCGCCAAGCATTTTGATGAACTTATTTGGGTTGGACATATTACTCATTTGGGAAGCAGCCGGAGAGGGAATAGATCCAACCATTGGAGTAGAATTGTCAAAAGAATTGTCAAGTGACTGCTTCACAATTTTTGGCTTCTTCACAATGTGTTGACCAAATAAACCTTCACACAAGCATCCAAACACATAGCAGACAAAGAACATGAAATATCCAGTATAATTGTATAAATGGTCATTTTAGCACATACTATAGTGACTATCATTACCACTGGTTCCGTTAGATTCAACTTGATGGTTCTCTGATCTCTTTTTTGAATAATCCCTCTGCATTATAGGAGACAAGAAAAATTTAAGGACTACAATGGATAATAAGTATATATTTTACGAGTACCCTAGAAAATACTACATGTGGTATGCAAACTTTCTAGGGTTGAGACAAAGGCTTCGTTGAGTTGAATGGTATACAAAGATTTTTTAGGCTAATAAACCTGGATCATATTACATGTAGTATGCAGACTTTTACAGTTGGATAAAGGCTTTGCTATTTGCGCAGATTTTTTAGGCTGCTAAACCTAGATCAGCAAACATTGACCTTGCAAAATATTTTGCAATATAGCAGTCTTTATTTGTCTAATTCTCATTCATTGTAGGACGTATGAGTGCGCATGTGAGGGATGAATCGATGGTTTTTTTCTTCGTCCTTTATTTGTACATGTGTCCATTTTTTTTTTTAAGGTAGGGTTTTGTGTGTTTGGGGGGGTACAACTCAGCTCAACAAAGCTGTATCCCAACTAAAACTAAACATCCTAGCAGTTGTAAAAAAAAATTACTAGCACAGCCATTGCAAAGCCTTGAGGATAGTGCAAAGCCCATTCGCCATCTTGTGCAAAATTGCTTTGTTACATATCTAGTAGCATCCCACAAGGCCTCGAGATGCTGTAACTCNACAAAGCTGTATCCCAACTAAAACTAAACATCCTAGCAGTTGTAAAAAAAAATTACTGGCACAGCCATTGCAAAGCCTTGAGGATAGAGCAAAGCCCATTAGCCATCTTGTGCAAAATTGCTTTGTTACATATCTAGTAGCATCCCACAAGGCCTCGAGATGCTGTAACTCCTTACAGAGGTGTTTTGTCCTAATCCCATAGTTAAACAAAAATGAAACCTAGTATTTTTTATAGGCTCATTTTAATTGAAAGCATCATTTTTAAACAATCCATATTTGGTGCCTATCCTCTACTGGTTGCAGATATAATATAAGGGTGATGACAAATTGTTTGAGCAGCAGCAAGAAACACATTCTTCTTTGAAGCAGAATACCATATTGTGGTGCGTGAAGCCTTCTAGCTAAATATACCAGAGTGACACCTATTGAAGGTTGGGATTCACCAGAGTCCAAGAAACTGTTGCGACTAAAAAGATATAAANTTGTGGTGCGTGAAGCCTTCTAGCTAAATATACCAGAGTGACACCTATTGAAGGTTGAGATTCACCAGAGTCCAAGAAACTGTTGCGACTAAAAAGATATAACTACAGAATAGCTGGACAAAGCCAACAAAAGGAGAGCAATTATGTTATCAGGAGAAATTTTTATCCATATATCACCCCAAAGATTCCGCTTTTCTTATGATTCTTTCTAATTTTTGAATGATCTTCCTGAACATGAAACTATAGTGCTTAAAGCATAGATACCAGCGATGAACGAACATCATCAATAGCTAAACATAATAGGCTATAAAAATGATTTAATAATCCATGAGAAATAGTTGAAATAATTTTAATGGCCATTAAAAAAATGAGCCAATCACTTCACCTCAAAAGGTCAGATCAATAAGTCAAACACTTTAAGAAAGTGCATGAATTGCGCATCAAGCGACTGTGTCTCATAAAGAAGACAGATCACCTGCTCATGTTGAAAATTTGAATCAAGCTGCCATCTGTGCTCATATGTGGAACCCTGCAACAATATACAGTTCAGGCAGTGATCAGAAAAGACAGAAAAACCAAAGAGGAAAGTCGCCACATTTTTCCAAAATTAGTATAGCCCCTAGTGTCTGCTGGAAAGTACGGGATATTATATACCAGGTGTTTTGCCTTCTTTTTCTTTTTAGGTTTTGTTGATACTTCTGAGGAATCAAATGGTAATTGCTTTTCAAAGTCCCCCACTGACTCGACTTCCATGTTATTTACAACTTGGAATCCACCATGCAAAGTACTCTGATCGTCCTGAAAAGAATAAGTATCACCACTGGAAGCACCTGTCTTATTTGGTGCCTGAACACTACCAGGTGTTCCAGCGCTATAAGGATTTAGAATCCTCTGCCTGGAAGCAGTCCGCACGCGTTTTGTTGGAAATGACACATTGAGACTGTTGGCAGGCCGTTTTCCCATTAACACAGATTGTTGAGTCCCAACTTTCTTTTCCATGCATTGAAGAAATGGTAAATCAGCTCCCACTTCATATGAATTTACACCATATGCCTTTATCGAGTTTTTTTGCTTCTTTTGGGCAAAATTTGTGGACCTGCTACCTTCAAAGGCTCCTGGCAAATAATATGTGCTTGTTTCTCCTTCATCTTCTTCATATGCATTATCTTGCGTGTCGAAGTCTACATTCAGAATCAAATTTGTAAAGAATAAAAGCTTAATTGAAAAGCAAGGTAAAAAATATTCAAAATAGTCCCACTAATACCTGGAACAGCGTCATAGGTGGATGTCTCCACTTCCTCTTGCATGCTACTGCCAGTTTTCTATAAAAAAATAAGAAAAAACCATGGTCAGTAGGCCAGATCAGCCAGGAAAACGGCAAACATGGCTACCAGCTGCAACAGCGGTTGCTCAGTAATTGGCACAAATGAAAATCGTGCTTATACAAAACCATTATGCTGATGCCATGTTTCAATCATAACAAAACAATGTTTGCAACAAAATATGAGATCATGGGGCACAAAACTGTTAAAGTCAATCAATCCATGATATCCTAGGTCATGAGGCTTCTAATATCTGGAGGAAATATGCTTACCTCAAGTTGTATCAAATAAGACTCAATAGATTTTCTATACGTTTCCATTGCACCAGCAGGAACTGTGTATAAAAGATTCTCCTGGCATAATGGAAAAATATCATCTGTTATCAAGCCATAATTAGAAAGAATAGACGAGCAAAACAAGCCAGAATTTAAATGTCGTCCTTTCAAGGCTAAAAATTCCATGCAACATGCTTATCACATATATACACACGTGTGTGTACACAGATATACACACACACAGCAAAAAGAAGTTCCCCTGGTCACAAAAAGAATGTAGCTTTGTCACATACTTCCGTCAAGTGATCCGCCCACGACATGTCCAGAGTACCCAAATCACACATCCTGTCAGGGGTTGCTGGAGCCTCAACTTGTCCCTGCAGAATGTGAGAGCTATTGTATTTCAGAAATCTCACTGCATATCCCTGAACAGAAAGTGCAAAATCTTTTTCAGGACATTTCAGCTCCGGCTCTTTGCTCGTCTCCTGCCACAACCAACAAATATTAATAATGAACCCACGGAGCCACTTAAACAAATCACTGCAACCAAAAGTTCACATGTAGGCCCAACTCAAAAATGTAAAGCAAGTGACGTAGTTCCAGAAAAACTAATACTAAAGAAGCAGGATACATCAATTTACCCGAATGCCTGTAAGCGCATTTATCCAGACACAAGAAAGAAAGAACTTCACATTCAAATTCACGCATATCAGTGTCGCTCACAGAATGTTGCTACGATCAGGCAGACTTTACGTGCATGTAGGTGTGTTTTCCATGCATATATTTACATTGCCCCGTGTTGCCCTTTAGAGAGAAAAGTTAACAGTAGGAGTCTTCTTGCATACTTATAATACTTCCTTTACAACTCTACTCAACTCAACAAAGCCTTGTCACAACACTTACAATTCTTCTTAGATCATTAAAATAGCAGATTTTTGAGAAGTGCAGGAGAATAAGATCTAGAGGGCAACACTGGCAATAATGTAGAATCTAACACAAGTCTGCAATTAATGTGGTTCCAAATTAGCTGAGAATAAAAAATCTCAGCATCATTTTAGTGGATGTTATCAGGTTGCAATTGTTAGAGCCTCCAATCCAAAATCAATTGGCAATCAGTGGAGAGGTTCTCAAGCATATAAATCAACCTTGGGTAATCCTAAATCCTAATCATTCGATTTGGGATACAAGCTCTTCATACACCCTCCTCAAGTGAGACCTGGGCTCACTGGTTAGGCTAGCAAACAAAAAATCAGGCATGCATACCAAAAAATTCAAATGGGTAACAGACTCAGTCCATTGACCAGTGAGGCCTAACTTTTATACCACGTTAGAGCATTCAACCCAAAATTAATTGACAATGATTGGAGAGACCCCTTATGCATATAAACATACTTTGGATAGTCCTGATCATTGAATGTGGGATACAAACTCTCTGGCCAGCAGCGAGTCCCTTCTTTGATCAATACTTAAGATAACCACATGAATACTTTGAAAACTACAATCGCTGCATAGTCTGGAGTGTATCTGGACATCTATGAGGTAAATAAATCCATCAATATTGCCTATATTTCTGGCATCATCTACTTTTTGTTCTCCCACAGTTTTTCTTCGGATCCCATCATGTGATATATGGGTTGAGAAGGGGGAAGGTGCATCTTGAACAACTACCACCACCTATAACTGAACGAAATGCAAATATAACAACTAATGATCAAAAAAACAATTGACCTAAGTTTGAATTAACCTAGTGACCAGGGAAAAAAAGCCAAACCGAATAACTAGCACCATATTAAGTCTCCAAACCTGTCCTCAGTAACCATGTTCCCATCACTAATCAAAGAACTACAAAAAGTAATCTCATTGCAATGCAAACAAAATAGTGCCCCCAGTTAATAGCCACCGCTTGAACAATAACATAATTAAAAGTACCTCTAATGAATGCCAGAACTCCATAACAGCTTTTGCCAAGGTATGAGCTACATTTTTTTGCTTCCAACATGAATATTTTTCTTCACATCTTAACCGAGAAGAAAAGGCAGCCTGATAACTTAAACGAGCAGCAGCAGTTATCTTCCAAAGACGCTCCTATTTGAAGGTATATTGTAAATCAGTAAGGCACATAAAGCCCAAAAAAGGCACTAAAAATATATCTCTGAAAAGAGAGACGCTTGCAACCAATATGCTAAATATTCCATACTTAAACAGACATCCTCCAAAAGCAGAAAGCAAAGAGACAAAAAGAGCAACTGTAGGGTTTATTGGCAATGTCAGACCTGCGCAAAATCATTTGCCAACCATGCCATTTCCTCCATGACATAATCCCACTGAGATTTTCGACGATTCTCCACCAGTTGGGTACCAACAGATAACTCTGCAATCCGCTTACGCTTCGCCTGTTTATAAATCATGTCAGACCTCTAGGGCCCAATAACAAAGGGATGAACAGTTCCTTGAGTTCAACGCAATATAGGTCATAAAACAGACTGGGGTGTCAAGAAATAACCTCTATAATTCGTGCCTCTTCCAGAATTGAGTCTTCATCTGCCTCATTGACCACTTTCAGTTGCACTCCAGAACAAGCTTTGTGCTCTGCAGCAACAGTTGAAACCCTAACAGACGACTTATTATCTGTAAGCTCTTGATTAGAGGAATCCATAGAACCCAGAAGGGTACTAGGACAAGCATTCTCACTCCGTGGTATGGAAATTTCAACCAACAAATTACTAGGTTTGCTTTCTGTTTCTAAACCAGTAATGCCATGTGGCTCCATTCCCTTGACAACCATAGAATCTTTCACACCATTGTGCAAGCCAGGTCCACTTCCATTCAGTTCTTCTTGGGATTTGAGTATGTGATCATTCCCTCTGTGGCTTTGATGAACAGAATTGATATTGTGCTTAATGAAAGCACAACTGTCATCCGCTTTATTCTCATTAGTTTCTTTAACCAATTTATCACTGTCCATATTTGGTGTCCCTTCAGATGCTAAGACTTGTTCCTTACTATTCCCATTTGAATCAATATTTCTAAGATTAGTACAAACTTCACTATCATTATTTCCATCCATGCTAAGACTGGTTTGCGTGCAAGATGACTCAGAATCTAAACCTTTGATGCATGCTGCACTATCGTTTTGACCTTCATTTGGTAGGTCTTTTGTATCCCACTTTTCGTTGCTTAACCCATTCATTTGACCCGAACCAGCTTGATTATCAACTTTTGTGATGGCAACACAAGGCACATGTTCAAGACCTACTGAATCCACCTGTTCCTCTCCCACAACAGATTTAGGTCCTGCAGAAGGCATTTCCTTAGGAGTCTCCTGAGCATCAGATTGTAAGCATTGCTCATCCCACAAGTTTTTGGAAGCGTCAGCATCTGAAGCAGCAACAGGAAGCATATCTTTGGTCAGAGCACCAGACTCTACTGGTCGCATGCCATCTAACTCTGTAACTAACTGATTATCAGCCGGTACGGTTTTGAGAACTATAGTACCCTTTGAACCTGTGGGCTTCATATCCAAATTCATTGAAACATTCTGGTCCTTCTGAAAGTCTGTATCAGAGACTGACTCTTTGGTGTCCCTGAGACAATTGCGAGAAGGTAAAGAAGAGCTGTGACCACCACGAGATGGTACTGCTTCAGTTGAGCCTGATCGAGCACCGTCACGATTTGGTCGGGACCTAATCCTTCGCCTATATGCCTTTTTTGGAAGGCCAAAAGCAGCAGAGTCCACTACTTCTTTGGCATTTTGACTTCCATCCAATTGGGTGTAATGCTCCGATGGAATAATCTTACTCCTACTGGAATGCACATACTTTCTGTCACCTTCAAGAAATTCATTTTCACCATCAAACAGCATGAGATTATCAGCACAATTGGGTTCACAACCTAGAGTAGCCACCGGCCTACCACTACTTTCAACAGAATCCCCATAAGGTGAAGCAGTCAATGCAAAACTACCTTTTGCTTCACTGAAACACCACAATTAAACAATAACCAATTCATTATAAAGCCAATAATAATAATAAATGTCACAGAAAGGATAATCAATAATACTACAGCACAGCAGAAAAGAACCTGGTCACAAACTGCTCATGGTGTTGATTTGTCAGTGAAGTGGACTGGACGCTGACTGAAGCAGCATTCCCAAGTTTGAAGTCCAAGGGATTGCCACCCTGCATTGAAACAATAACCAATCACTATAATGTCTAGACGGGTCCCATATCCACATCAAGAGTTCAGAAAGGAATATATGGATAAAGTAAGATGCGGATAAAATGTCTATACTTTTTCGAGAAACTCTAACTGTCTTCTCCTTTCCTCACGAACATCATACTCCTGCCTGTTATCAACAGAAATAGTATGTTATATTTACCTATGTTATATTTACCTTGACAGAAATAAGACGTTTGGGCATAGTGAAATTAGAGTAGGCAGGTCAAGAATGCAAAAGTAGCATGGCAATATCACCTAAGCTCTGCTTGAGCCTTCTCGATTGCCGCTAGCCGCGGAGAGGTTTTGATGCCAATTCCAGCTCCACCATCAATAACTCCTCCCATAGAATCAACCTCGGCATTGACTAGGAGAGCAGATCCAGAACCACATCCATGCATGCCTACCTTCTTACCTAAAGATGCTCCCCTCCCATTGATTCAAGACATAGATTAATTCCTTAAAGAAGAGAATTGGAATAGTCAGTCAATACACACAGAGAAAGAAGCATACAAAAGAAAAAAACTATAAGATACCAATGGCTGGTAATCATTAAAAAAGGAATCCCCTTCTTCATTACTATAGAAATAAAAATAACACATGAAAGCATATACTCGAACTAGAGGGACTGCATAGATCATATTAGCTTAGAAATCAAGAAAATAAAGGGAATGGGAGTGTCATAAAAGAGGGATGTGGATAGCATTGTCATTTGCCAGAAGCTTACCCCAATACACATCAAAACTGTAAATATAACATTCATGTGACATCCTACATTGGTGTTCCTTAAATCTACTGCACAAATGCATGCTTTAGTGTAAATAAATGGTTCAATGCCTATATCTGGCATCCAAATTTCCAAATCTTATCCTTAGTCTTTTGCAACTATATGACCCTCATAATTCTATACAAGCATGTGCTTGATTACTTATAAGCTCCATGGTCCATTACAAACTAATAAATAGACAAAATGGCATCCATCAATTAGTCTCTAAAGCAATGTTATCATCCTCACATCAGTTGTATCAGTAATCTTTTGTAAAAAAATGAGCATCACATAAACCAACCAAGTACAGTACCTGCATATCTTATCTAACTTGTAAACATTTCATAAAGAAATAATTTCTGAGGGAAATAAGCAGAACATTTGAACCATGAGAACATTAGTTTTCAGTGAAAGACAGGACTTCCTTGCAAGGGCTAACACACAAAATGGAACACAGGATTTTTGTAAGTAAACTTTATGTTATGCAATTGTGTCCCAACTCCAGACTAGGTCCAAACCCAAGGGACATCTAGCCCGCATTGCTTAATGTTTTGCAGTATTCATGTTCCATTTCACCCTAGTTCCTGATCAAGTACCTCATCCTGATATGTATTGCATACTACAGCCAACCCTAGCAATAACTACATATGTATACCATTCAATGTGCATATGGATAAATCACTAGAAGGTCGTCAAAATAAAAGTATATCGCAAATGCATGAGGCAGAAGTCACATGCATGAGGCAATCAACAGACATATCACCATCCACAAATATAACAGGACCACCGTAAAAACAATCAGCAAATGTATATAAGCAATCACTAACCTAACCTGATGTCAATCTCAATCAATTGCAGAAAAATTGTATCAAAGACAATAGCAGCAATGTAGTCATAACGTATATATCAAACATCACAAAAGAGATAATACGAGAAATATCAACTCTTACCAATCAAACAAAGAANTCTCAATCAATTGCAGAAAAATTGTATCAAAGACAATAGCAGCAATGTAGTCATAACTTATATATCAAACATCACAAAAGAGATAATACGAGAAATATCAACTCTTACCAATCAAACAAAGAATAACGCTAACTTCTGTGTGCCAGGTAATACAACTGAAAACAGAGAGTAGTCCTGCAACATCTATTGCGTGCACGTGCACCCACATGAGTGCGCGCGTAAGAGAGAGAGGGGGGTTTACAAGAAAAAAATTACCCAATAAATATGCATGCACACACACACGTGTTGATTTGATTTCTCATAAATTTTTGTTGAAAAAATAATCAACTTCCCAAACACCAGGCTGGTTAATTCAACACCAACGAAGTCAGAGTTCAGTTAACCAATAGGAGAGCATGGACCCCACAAACAAATGCTCAAGCAATAACAGTAAATAACTGCAATGCAACTTCAACATTTCAATTTTAACATTGCAGACCCCTTTGTTCAGTTTACTTCATGTACCACATCTTACCACCACTATATGATTTAACTCCTCAACTTCTCAGCTTAAAAAGATCGCCTAAATATCTTAAGGCACTAAACTCGCAATAAGCAAAGCTATAAGTTGATTTACCAGCAAAAGAAAACATAATTCTGACACTAATTTGATGCGAATTAAACAAGCTCCCACAATACCATTGCATAGCATGCAAAAACTCTGAGCATTCAATCAACATACACGAACACAATCTCATAACAGCCAGTTTAACATCCATTGCCTCGAAAATCAACCCTAAAACAGCAATTCCAACGCTGGGCATAAAACTAGGGTTTGCATAATATGAACATTAGTCCAATTTCTAGGGTTTGCGAAGCTAGAATTGAAAAATAGTACCTGAATTGTGAAGAGTTATGTAACGATTGGCAGCTAGGCCCCTAGCTTCATTCAAGCCGTCCCTGGAACTTCCTCTCTTCTAGGGTTTTGCTTTGATGCAGCATACAGCAATTTTCAAAGCACACGAATTTGCCCTAGAAAATGTTCAGTCATGGAAGCATTGAATCCTGTCTGAAACTCCTATTTCTCTCAACATATGAACTTATGCATCGTTGTGATTCGTCTTCGTGCTCGTTCGTTCCCTAACTTTCTCTCTCTAAAAGTAAATTTTTGGTTTTTTTCTCTCTCTAAGATTGTAAACTATTCGTCGTCTGCGACATGTAGTGGGCTGGATATGCAGACGACGAAGAAGAGGGCTTCGGGAATTCGGTCCATTTGGGGCCTTTTGTCTTTCGTCATTATTTGTAGTTTTTAATTTTTATTTGTGTTTTCAGTTTTATTTTGAAGTCAATTCGTGGGCAATGTTTTTGGCCAGTGGGTGAATTTTTATTTTAATTATCTCTTATTTGAAGCCAAAAAATAAAAAATAAAGTTTGTTAAAAAAAAATGTATAACAATGCACAAAACTCTTGTCCATAACGAGATATGAAATAAAAGTAATAAGTGACATATTACCGGTGGTGTTTGAAAAAATTAAAAGTTGAACGTTGAAAATTGAATGTTGAATTTTTTTAATTTGAAGACTGTTTGGTATTAACTGAAATTTAAATATTAAATTAAATCAAATTATTTAACAAATATAAGAAACTAAAGTTTGAAAAGTATTACTATTCTAATTTGAGTAATGTTATATGGACTTAAAAACTATACTGGATAATTTCAATCATTGAATAAGCAGTGAGTCTCAATAAATGCTATGACCTACAGTGAAATCAATAGTTGTAATTATCAAGTCTAATTTTTAAGTCTACTTTTTAAGTCTATGTAGCATTACTTNAAAGTTTGAAAAGTATTACTATTCTAATTTGAGTAATGTTATATGGACTTAAAAACTATACTTGATAATTTAAATCATTGAATAAGCAGTGAGTCTCAATAAATGTTATGACCTACAGTGAAATCAATGGTTGTAATTATCAAGTCTAATTTTTAAGTCTACTTTTTAAGTTTATGTAGCATTACTCTTCTAATTTTGTCATTCTTTTTAATCATCTCTTGCAACTACTTTATTTCTATCACCACCATCACAATGGTGTGGTGGGTGGTGGCGAAAGGGACAATGATGATGGTGGTGGTGGTGGTGGTCGCANTGTAGCATTACTCTTCTAATTTTGTCATTCTTTTTAATCATCTCTTGCAACTACTTTATTTCTATCACCACCATCACAATGGTGTGGTGGGTGGTGGCGAAAGGGACAATGATGATGGTGGTGTGGTGGTGGTGGTGGCGGCAGCAACGGTGGCAATGGTAATATTGGTGATGGTGGCATAATGGTGGTGGCGACAATGGAACAATGGTAGTGGTGATAATGGTGCTAGTGGTGACACAATGGTAGTGGTGGCGACGACGACACAATGGTGATGATTGCGGCGGCACAATAATAATGTTGGTGGTAGTGTTGGCAATAGTGGTAACAACGACACAATGGTGGTGGTGGTGGTGATTGCAGTGATACAATGATAATGCTGGTGGATGATGAGTATTAAAAAGTTAAGAGTATAAAATGTAAAAAAAAAAAATCTAAAAGTTAAAAGCGCTCAGCAAAACTATANCAATGGTAGTGGTGGCGACGACGACACAATGGTGATGATTGCGGCGGCACAATAATAGTGTTGGTGGTAGTGTTGGCAACAGTGGTAACAACGACACAATGGTGGTGGTGGTGGTGATTGCAGTGATACAATGATAATGTTGGTGGATGATGAGTATTAAAAAGTTAAGAGTATAAAATGTGAAAAAAAAAAATCTAAAAGTTAAAAGCGCTCAGCAAAACTATTTTAATAATATTTACAATATGATAATTATACCCCAAAATATTTTACAATTTTATTAAAACTCTAATTAATCTTTTTTCTAAAACCCTTAACATATCTATCCTCTTTGTCGATCTCTTTTTCAGCAAGTAACAAGTAAGTCTTATTTCTTGTCTTCTTCTTATTCTTCTTTTTTTTTCCCATGTCTTTTACAATAAAAATATACATACATAATTTACACANTATACCCCAAAATATTTTACAATTTTATTAAAACTCTAATTAATCTTTTTTCTAAAACCCTTAACATATCTATCCTCTTTGTCGATCTCTTCTTCAGCAAGTAACAAGTAAGTCTTATTTCTTGTCTTCTTCTTATTCTTCTTTTTTTTTTCCCATGTCTTTTACAATAAAAATATACATACATAATTTACACACGCATAGACGAACACACTGCGCTGCACACACATAGACACATACATTGCACACACACACATAATTATACACATAAACGAACACATACCCACACATGCACTGCACACACGTGCCCCTACACACACATACCTTCATAGCGCGCGCACATATTGTTAATGAAATTAAATTTATTGTATTTTTTATTATTATTCANACACATAAACGAACACATACCCACACATGCACTGCACACACGTGCCCCTACACACACTTACCTTCATAGCGCGCGCACATATTGTTAATGAAATTAAATTTATTGTATTTTTTATTATTATTCAATTATTTATTAGTTTTTATTTTTTTATTTTGTTTATCAGATGTTATTGCTCACTTGTTGTGTTACTCAATTTGTTATTGTTCATTTATTGTGATTGTTCACTTATTGTTATTTGATTATTTATTAGTTATTGTTTCCTTTTTTTTTTAATCATATGTTATTGTTCACTTATTGTGTTATTCAGATGTTTTTTTTTTTATCAAATATTATTGTTCACTTATTGTGTTCTTGAAATATTATTTATTTATTTTATCAGATGTTTGTTAAATGTAGACTATAATATGATAACAGTGATTATGATTTATGTTATGATATATTTTATAAATATTTTCGAATTAAAAAGTAGAAGGGTAAAATTAAAAATTAATTTATTTTCTAATGTCAACTCTTTGTATTTATCAAAAAATTTAGTTCAATTCAGTAGTTAAATTTCATTGGATACCAAACAGTCCACAAATTCAACATTCAACATTCAACTTTTAACTTTCAGACTTCAGCTTTTAGTTTTATCAAACACCACCTAATTAACATTTTTTAGCATTAGATAAATAAGTGACTTGCTACTTAAAATTTTAATTTATTTTTAAAAAAGTGTTTAAAATATTAAGTAGTATAACAATATAAGCTCGTTTGGTAGACGTATTATAAAGGGATTAAATATTGAATTGCATTATTTTTTATTTAATTGAGCCTAATACTTTATTTAGTAAGTAAATTTGATACCGTATTAATTTAAAAAACGTATACTAATCGTACATTTATCGTATATTTTTTATACGTTAGACCTTTATTATGAAGGTATTTTAATACCACCAAAAGAGGTGGTATTATAATCCAACTCAAATGTATTATTTTGCACATTTATCATTATAACCTTTTAACTGATAAAATCAAATTGTCATCAATGTAACAAACACTGATTGAGGGTATTTTTGTTAATTCAACATTAATACGATAAAATAATTTCTTAACCAAACAACCGATTGGATTAAATAATTACTATCCAACGTTTATGTTGTGTATTACCAAACACTAGATAAAATTACGTATTATTCTAATACCATATTTAGTCTTGTCTTTTGTCCTTCTGTATTGTATTAGACCGAATTATTTTATTTAATCTATCCATTTCTAATACGGCAACTAAACAAGCCCTATGAGTTTTAGATTATCAAATGAATTTAATTCATTAAGTGTTTAAAGTNATTATTTTATTTAATCTATCCATTTCAAATACGGCAACTAAACAAGCCCTATGAGTTTTAGATTATCAAATGAATTTAATTCATTAAGTGTTTAAAGTGTTCAATTTTAAGCCTTATTCTAAAAATAAACGTTTATTAAAACACAAGGGATGAGTACTCACTTCGATTATCAAAATGTCATATCATTTTATTACGTATCTATATTTCACAAGTGTTATCATCAATCTTATTTCAATTCAATCCAAAAAATAGGCTGATTGATTTACTTCACTTCATGACATGACCTAATTTTATGCGGTCTAAACCATTCTTAATTATCAGATTTTTACGTTTGAAAATGATAAGGGATTATCTTCCATAAGGATTTTAATAAAGAAGTTGAATCAACAACCTATTTAATGTTATAGAACCAACACGAGGTCGTGTCATTTTTCTCACCCAGGACTATACCAATAGAGTAATTCATATTTGTTATGAGTCCATATCAATTATGTATGTGTATAAACACTAGAGCACTTTTTTCCGGTAAGCTGATTTTCAGAAAGAATATCTATCTATAGGTTTTTAATAATTTGTATCAAAGCTAACTACTATATCAAGTATGAGATCAAACCCAATATGAATTGCAATTTTATGTGGTTGAATTACGAAAGAGACAACCTATAAGTTGATTAGAACAATTTGGTATTATATATAATTATAGTACTATCTCATTAAATATTAGCAGGTCAGTGTCAAGTCAATAAAGAGAATCACCGTATACATCAGTTATAAAAACATCCGAGAGATTTAAGTAATGAATTGTTTTATCTTCCATTTTGGATAAACTAGTTTTTGAACTTGAACATACAACATAATTATATTATTTATTTTTTTGGTTCAATTGTTAAGGATGTTCGGACAAATTTAAATGAACTTTGACTTATCTCATATCTGGTCCGGTTAAAAGCACATCATCCACACTAAGATTAGGATATTCATAAAATATAATTTTATCATGCTTACTTATGAAATTGTCAAAATTTAAATTTATAACGTTTAAATTTTCAGCTCTGGTTTATATTACCATTTTAGTTACTGAATGCTATAATTATATCACTTGAATGCATGAATATGCTTATAATCATTTGAGGTTTGACTTTGAACTTACTTTCAGACCGTTAAAAAACAAAGCAACCTTCCAGAAGTAAATCAACAATCTTAGCATTAGTGCCTTGGCGGTGGCTTTGATTCTTTGGTCCCAACACTTCCAAGGTTAGTAGAGAGAGAATATGGACATGAAAGGTGATCCAACACTTTTACAATAAAACAATTTTAGTATATTGTAAATCATAGGAAAAATTTTGTACAGGTACATCAAACCGATTTTTTAATATTGACAAACTTTATATAGTACAATAAGGCATATTTTAATTATTTCATTAGATAATCTCAAATAGAGTCATTCAACGGTCATTAACATCCCTTTCAAAACCATTTATATTAAATTTTACTTTTATCTCATCGCTTTTCACTCTCTATTTAGGATCTTTACTCCTCATTTCTCTAAATTAACCTGTTAGTTTATATTACACCGTATTTTTAATTCATGCACAAGTTACCCCTAATTTCATATTTGTTTAGCATGGAACGACTTTCAATCTATTGTTGTGGTGTAAAGTACACATTTATGCTTACTCCATCTAAAACAAATTGAAGATGAAGAACAATGAAAATTATCTATTGTAATTGTTTATACGTAGGTAGGTATAAACACTTCTATTTGCTAATTTATATTCATTCATACAAAACCTGTTCAAAGCAATTGAGAATTGACAAGAACAGGAGATAAAACTGTGTTCATAAAAAGCAGCACACAAAGAACCTCTAATTTATACTCTTCCTGAACAGGGTATAATCCACACTTGTCTGACCTATAAGATCTTTACTTCGAAGCTTGGAATTTACCTAATCCCTGTTCCGGCCCCCTGGCTGGCGAGGGACGAGATAGACTTTTGTCGGCCTTGGAGGTAACTTCACCAGGTTGGATACAAGAAGTAAGGCTAAACNGGAATTTACCTAATCCCTGTTCCGGCCCCCTGGCTGGCGAGGGACGAGATAGACTTTCGTTGGCCTTGGAGGTAACTTCACCAGGTTGGATACAAGAAGTAAGGCTAAAAAATTGACTTGTAGGTTTATGTTGGGGTGCTTTCAGATAATTACGATATTCTCCAGTCCTTAGCATCTGCCAACATGGTCGATTTATTGCAGCCACCCCCAACTCTTCAGAAATCAATGCTGCAAATTCAAAGGATTTTATTAGGGCGTGACATAGCCCATTATGGAGCAGAATGGTGAAATAGCACTAGGAAAAGAGAGAAAAACCAAGAAATGCCAAGAGCTCCATCAATCCGCTGTTCGTTGGTAGACGAAGCTCTCTCTTTATCATCTTGTGCTACACGCAACAAAGGGCGAGTCCTTTTTCTTCTCAAACAGTTTTTCATTTATTTTCTTGTAATTCAAATAAGAAACACTATAAAGCTAAATAACTGAGAAAAAAATACTTGGTAATTTGCAACTAGATTGTGACATGGTCATCTCACCTGTAAGATATCATGAGAACGGCTCTTTCAAATGAGATGAAGTCCTCTCCAATGAAGCAAGTACATCCCGGAGCTCCTTAACCTGCCTGGTCATATTATTAAGCGAGTAAGCTTTAATCATGGTTCTATATGTGATCTTATCAGGCTTACACCCTTTTCTCTCCATCATCTCAAGCATCCCTTTCATCTCTGCAAAGCATCCCATCACCCCATAAGCATCCACCAGGCAATTGAAAAACACAGTGTCAAGTGTCACATCGGAATTTTCAATAAATCGCAAAACACCCCCAATTTTTTCAGCCTCTCCAGCTTGCCCATAAGCCTTTACAAGCAAACACAGAGTGACACAGTTTGGTTTTATCCGTTCCGACTGCATTAGCCTGAACAAAAACTCCATTTGTTTCAAATCCCCAGCCCGCCCAAAAGCATCAATTACTATATTGTAAGTGACAAGTGTCCACGAGAAGTGGTATTTCTGCATGTATTCCATCACAGCGCTCATTTTCTCGTAATTCCCAGTTTTCCCATAGGAATCCAAGAGTATGTTGAAGGTCTTGATGCTGGGCTGAATCCCAGCACATTGAAACTTCTCATAACACTTCTCCATCGTTTCTATTTGCCCACTGCTGCCAAACGCTCTTAGTGTGGAGTTCATGGTCCATACATCAGGTTCACATTCCTGTTGGCGCAGCATTTCCACGAGTGTTGATTCCATCTCTGCAAACCTTGGAAGAAAATAAAAATAACTAGTCAATTCTCTCAGTTATCATCACAAAATAATGCTTTATTGGTTGCCAACAAAGTGGTACAAAGTTCAAAGGTACACATTGTCTGTCAAGCTTCATGGAGAGAAGAAAGAGAAAATGAACCTCGGACGGTAAGTGACAGTTTGCGAAGTGATGGCAGCAATGGTGGAGCAGGTAGAAGTGGCAGTGGGGGAAACAACAGCAGTGACAGTAATCGAAGTGATGGCTTTTAAGCCATTCCCCACCTTCCTCTACCCAAGTAAATGACAAAGAACTTGTCTAATAAAAGTGATACTATTTTCTCCCTATCTTCTTCTCCACTTCCTTTAAACCAGGCAATGGAAATTTTATCAATTGCTATTGATTCTGTATTTTTCCTTAACAACAGATGAAACATTCAGAATTCTAGAAGAGAAAAGCGACAAGATTACTTTTTTGCTTTCCCATATGCGTCGATGAGGGTATTATATGTAATTGTGTTGGGCTTGATTCCCTGAGATGCCATGTCAGAAAGCAAAGCTTGTACTTCGTCAAAGTCATAAACATGCAGGCATGATTTTAAGAGGATCGAGTATGTGTAGACATCAGGCCGACAGTCAGGAGTGTTCTTCATCTGCTCAAGGATAGAAAATGCTTTGTCAAAAAGCCCACTTCGACTGTAGGCAGATAAAAGAGCAGTGTAAGCTTCATGGTTCACAACACAGCCTTCGTCAATCATGTTCTGAAATATAGAATGGGCTTTCTCAGGTTGCTTACATTTTCCGAGCATGACAATGAGCTTGATGTATATGCCAGAGTTTGGCCTGTACCAAAGCTGCTCACGAAGCAGTTCAAAAACCTGAAATACAGAGACGTAAGTTTAACGTATGAAGAAAAATGATTAATCAAACCTATTCTAAAAATTCTTACACTTTTGAGAAAATACAATGTGAATTAAGTCACAAATAAAAGATTTTTTACGATTACAGACACAAATCTGAAAATAGAATTCACTATCACTTGGGAACAAAAACATGATTTCCCGCTGTTGCTTGAATTGCAAACAAATGACAAGAATAGCCAGATCAACCCCGACAGTTCCATGCCATAGCCCTTTTAGCATCAAAATGATAACTGGCCAAGTTTGACCATCTCACTCCTCCATTGGACATGCCCCCAAATATTGCTAGAGAAGCATAGAAAAGATGATATACTCCACATCTTGAACAGAATCCCACTAGCTACACCCGCAAATGTAGGCAGTTCACTAAACAATTTATGTTTTCTTAAAGGTCATATGAAGGAAATCCGAATAAATCGTGCCTCAGTGAACTCTAGTACAACTCAACTAAGCCTTATCCTCACCAAATCCTCACACTTTCTCTCATCCTAGCAAATGTCATTATACCAATTCATTGTTCGTGTTGCCACATACATCCTCGCCTATCCATCATACTCTCTCTCTCTCTCTCTCTTTCTCTCTCTCTCTCTCTACGACTGGCACACACACGTCGTCATTCAATGGCAATGCCCTTCATTCCGTACTCCTATCCTGCATTGTCTTTAATTTTAGTAAATCAGATTTGACCTTTGAATTATCATATTACAACAACACCATAACACTCCTCACTTGATCTACTTTGCCACACTCTGTATGCCGCATTAACATTTCCCAGTTCATAATCAAGCGTAAACTACCAAAAGCGATAGCTTTTCTGTGACTTACTGTCTTTCTAAACCATAAAGAAAATACCTGACCGACNTTACAACAACACCATAACACTCCTCACTTGATCTACTTTGCCACACTCTGTATGCCGCATTAACATTTCCCAGTTCATAATCAAGCGTAAACTACCAAAAGCGATAGCTTTTATGTGACTTACTGTCTTTCTAAACCATAAAGAAAATACCTGACCGACTCAGGAATTTCTACGAGACCTCGTCGTTTGTCTGTCTGAATTTTCAGCGCAAACAACCTACCAATAATTTATAATACTGCTTGACTCAACATACTAGGTTATCATTGATGGAGCTTAGGATTAGTGTCTAAGTACATTAATTGTCCTATATTTATTGTTTCTGTTAATAAGTCCTAGTCTTTAGGAATTAGTTAATTAGGCTTGAATTATTCTTATCCACTTTCCACGTTCTTAGGGCTGTTAAACGTGGGCTGTTTATGCTTTGCTTTCAGTTGTAAAAGGCTTATATATAAGCCAAAGTTTCTGTTCAATAAAAGTGTGCTTTATTCTCCCAATTGAGTGAGTTTCTTGTGCAACTGATAATCAAGTTTCAACAATTGGTATCAGAGCCGGTTGTGAGGCCTAATTGAGTGAGGTTAAGAATCTGCAGAATTCTTAAAGAGAGAAAACTGTGAGTGAAACACGAGAGAAAGAGAGATAAGAGAAAAGGAGGAAAGCACGAAGTATGGCGGCGGAAGTAAACTTTGTACAACCTGCAATCCCTAGGTTTGATGGTCACTATGACCATTGGGCCATGTTGATGGAGAATTTTCTCCGATCCAAGGAGTATTGGAGTTTGATTGAAGTTGGGATACCTGCAGATGCAACAGGAGTTGAGCCAACTGAGGCACAGAGGAAGGCAATGGAGGATCAGAAATTGAAAGATTTAAAAGTGAAGAATTATCTCTTTCAATCTATTGATCGGACTGTCATGGAAACTATCTTGAATAAAGAGACTGCGAAGAGCATATGGGAATCAATGAAGCAGAAATATCAAGGATCCAGCAAGGTAAAACGTGCTCAATTGCAAGCTCTTCGGAGAGACTTTNTGCTAGGTGTGAGTGAAGAAACTAAAGCCTATAAACTCTACAACCCTATTACAAAGAAGATTGTGGTAAAAAGAGATGTAGTGTTTGAAGAAAATGAGAATTGGGATTGGGAAAAGAGCATAGAAGAAGTGAGAGGTGATGTGCTTCAAGTGGGTAATGAAGAAGATACAGAAGAGAGTGAGGAGCATAACGAAAGTGAAGATGAAATTGGAGAACAAGAGCACGCGGATGCAAGAGCTGTGGGTAACTCATCTTCAACAGGTTCACTTGGGAGAGATGAGTCTAGTCCACTTGGAGAAAGAACCATAAGAGCGCCTTATTGGATGGAGGATTATGTCACAGGTGAAGGGTTGTCTGAGGGTGAAGAAATGCACAACTTCATGTTGTATACTCCAGTTGGAGATCCATGTACGTTTGAAGATGCATCAAAGTGTTTGAAATGGAGGGAGGCCATGGACAGTGAGATAAGAGCAATAGAAAGAAATGGTACTTGGGAGCTGACTGACTTGCCAAAGGGAGCCAGGATGATAGGAGTAAAGTGGATCTTCAAAACAAAGCTCAATGAACGAGGTAAAGTTGACAAGTACAAGGCTCGGCTTGTAGTAAAAGGTTATGCACAACAACATGGCATTGATTACACTGAAGTATTTGCTCCGGTTGCTAGGTGGGATACAATCAGGATGATTTTGGCTCTAGCTGCACAGAGAGAATGGTGTGTGTATCAACTAGATGTAAAGAGTGCGTTTCTACATGAGGAGCTGAATGAAGAAGTGTTCGTTGAGTAGCTTCAAGGCTATGTGAAGAAGGGAGAAGAGCATAGAGTTTATAAGTTGAGGAAGGCACTATACGGGTTAAAGCAAGCTCCTCGAGCTTGGTATAGCAAAATTGAGGCATACTTCATCAAGGAAGGTTTTAAGCGCTGTCAAACTGAGCACACACTATTCATTAAATCTCAAGGAGAGGGTAAGATGCTGATTGTAAGTTTATATGTAGATGACTTGATTTTTACAGGAAGTGATGCAGGTATGTTCGAAGAATTTAGGGCCTTGATTAAATTGGAGTTTGATATGACAAATTTGGACAAGATGAAGTATTTTCTTGGGGTTGAGATTGTTCAAAACAGTGAGGGAATTTTCTTGGGCCAAAGAAAGTATGCACAGGAGGTATTAGAGAGGTTTGGTATGGAAAACTCTAACTCAGTAAAGAATCCTATAGTGCCCGGGTGTAAACTCATGAAGAATGAAGATGGAGCTCGTGTTGATGCGACACAGTACAAACAAATGATTGGCAGTTTAATGTATCTAACTGTGACTAGGCCTGATCTTATGTATGTTGTGAGTCTGGTTAGCAGATATATGGAGAGACCAACAGAGTCACATATGCAAGCTATGNAGTGAAGATGAAATTGGAGAACAAGAGCACGCGGATGCAAGAGCTGTGGGTAACTCATCTTCAACAGGTTCACTTGGGAGAGATGAGTCTAGTCCACTTGGAGAAAGAACCATAAGAGCGCCTTATTGGATGGAGGATTATGTCACAGGTGAAGGGTTGTCTGAGGGTGAAGAAATGCACAACTTCATGTTGTATACTCCAGTTGGAGATCCATGTACGTTTGAAGATGCATCAAAGTGTTTGAAATGGAGGGAGGCCATGGACAGTGAGATAAGAGCAATAGAAAGAAATGGTACTTGGGAGCTGACTGACTTGCCAAAGGGAGCCAGGACGATAGGAATAAAGTGGATCTTCAAAACAAAGCTCAATGAACGAGGTAAAGTTGACAAGTGCAAGGCTCGGCTTGTAGTAAAAGGTTATGCACAACAACATGGCATTGATTACACTGAAGTATTTGCTCCGGTTGCTAGGTGGGATACAATCAGGATGATTTTGGCTCTAGCTGCACAGAGAGAATGGTGTGTGTATCAACTAGATGTAAAGAGTGCGTTTCTACATGAGGAGCTGAATGAAGAAGTGTTCGTTGAGTAGCCTCAAGGCTATGTGAAGAAGGGAGAAGAGCATAGAGTTTACAAGTTGAGGAAGGCACTGTACGGGTTAAAGCAAGCTCCTCGAGCTTGGTATAGCAAAATTGAGGCATACTTCATCAAGGAAGGTTTTAAGTGCTGTCAAACTGAGCACACACTATTCATTAAATCTCAAGGAGAGGGTAAGATGCTGATTGTAAGCTTATATGTAGATGACTTGATTTTTACAGGAAGTGATGTAGGTATGTTTGAAGAATTTAGGGCCTTGATGAAATTGGAGTTTGATATGACAAATTTGGACAAGATGAAGTATATTCTTGGGGTTGAGATTGTTCAAAACAGTGAGGGAATTTTCTTGGGCCAAAGAAAGTATGCACAGGAGGTATTAGAGAGGTTTGGTATGGAAAACTCTAACTCAGTAAAGAATCCTATAGTGCCCGGGTGTAAACTCATGAAGAATGAAGATGGAGCTCGTGTTGATGCGACACAGTACAAACAAATGATTGGCAGTTTAATGTATCTAACTGTGACTAGGCCTGATCTTATGTATGTTGTGAGTCTGGTTAGCAGATATATGGAGAGACCAACAGAGTCACATATGCAAGCTATGAAGAGGATTCTGAGGTATGTAAAGGGGGCTGTTCAACTAGGAATTTATTACAATAAGGGAGGTGAAAGCAATGAGGAGCTGGTAGCATTTTCGGACAGTGATTATGCAGGGGATATTGATGATCGAAAGAGTACATCAGGGTATGTCTTTATGCTATGCAGTGGAGTTGTTGCCTGGTCTTCAAAGAAGCAACCAGTTGTCACCATTTCAACCACAGAAGCTGAGTTCATCTCTGCAGCTTCATGTGCGTGCCAAGGAGTTTGGATGAGAAGGGTTCTTGAGAAACTCCGTTGCAGCCAAAGTAAGTCAACTGTTATTTATTGTGATAACAGTTTTGCTATTAAACTATCCAAAAATTCTGTCATGCATGGAAGGAGCAAGCACATCAATATCCGGTTTCATTTCCTTCGTGAGCTATGTAAGGATGGTGTGTTAGAACTTGTGCACTGCAATTCACAAGATCAAGTGGCAGACATCATGACCAAGCCTTTGAAGTTGGATGCCTTTGTAAAGTTAAGGGACTTGCTCGGGTTGTGCAGCATGCCAAGTGAGTAAACTGATTACTTGATGCAATGCAGTTTAAGGGAGGAATTGATGGAGCTTAGGATTAGTGTCTAAGTACATTAATTGTCCTATATTTATTGTTTCTGTTAATAAGTCCTAGTCTTTAGGAATTAGTTAATTAGGTTTGAAATATTCTCATCCACTTTCCACGTTCTTAGGGTTGTTAAACGTGGACTGTTTATGCTTTGCTTTCAGTTGTAAAAGGCTTATATATAAGCCAAAGTTTCTGTTCAATAAAGGTGTGCTTTATTCTCCCAATTGAGTGAGTTTCTTGTGCAACTGATAATCAAGTTTCAACAATCATGAATCTTGGAATTTTGTAAACAAATGCGAGAAAAACAAACATAAAAAAATCAATTAAACTGAAACTTTACATATCAAATCAATAAATCGACTTAAATTGAACAAAGACGGACCTTGAGCGCAGACTCCCAACGCAAGGCGGTGATGCGTTCGTGAAGAGCCTCAAGGACTGTCCTAGGCAAAAGCTTCGTAGAGTTGGTGGGTCCTCTCTTCTTCTCAATGACGGCCTTCGTCGCCTCTCTTCGCAATATAATAGATATTGCCTTCTGTGACGCTATCTTTTTGCTCACTTCCTCTTTCTTCTCTCTGATTTCTCTCTCCTTTGGATTGGATATGTCGATTCTTCTTGGGCCTCTCTCAGTAAAAGTGAATGCGTTTGTTTTCTCAGAAAGTGGTTCTGGTTCTGGTTCTGGTTCTGGTTCTGGTTTTAGANCGTGAAGAGCCTCAAGGACTGTCCTAGGCAAAAGCTTCGTAGAGTTGGTGGGTCCTCTCTTCTTCTCAATGACGGCCTTCGTCGCCTCTCTTCGCAATATAATAGATATTGCCTTCTGTGACGCTATCTTTTTGCTCACTTCCTCTTTCTTCTCTCTGATTTCTCTCTCCTTTGGATTGGATATGTCGATTCTTCTTGGGCCTCTCTCAGTAAAAGTGAATGCGTTTGTTTTCTCAGAAAGTGGTTCTGGTTCTGGTTCTGGTTCTGGTTTTAGATTGCGTGTGGACTTGTTTCGTACAGTTACAGGTTTAATCTCCTGCCGCCGGTTAAATGCCGGCGGGAAGGGATTGGTGGGTCCGGAGAGAGACGCCATTGGGTTCTCTGAAGTTAATGGATGCAAAACAACCGACTCTTGATTTTTAGTTAGGTCCTAAGGCGCGGCCATTGGCCAACCCATTTGGGGAAAGGGATGATAAATTACACATTTCCCCGTTCAAGTTAAGGCCTAATTACAATGCACCTCCTCAGGTATCAATTTAATAAAATTACCCCTTAAATTTTGAAGATTGCTTTTAGTAGCCCCTGCCGTTAACTGGAGAGGCAAAGTTGACGGCCGTCAATCCTGCTAATGTCACAATGACTTGAGATCGTCTATGTGGAGTTGCAGAAGAGTTTGAATTTGAACTCTCTGTTCAATTACTTTGAATATGCACAACATGTGTAATTTACAACAATGAAAATAATATCTTTGTTGATAGAGTTTGAATAATTTTATAACTCATCGTTCAAAAGAATATGACAACTAGAGTTTTTGAGGATCGGGCTTATCTTCTTCTTACGTAACAAACTTAGTCAATCTAGAAATATCTGCTCCAATATACCTTCGCAATCGAATGACAAGTTTTTGGACATGAAAATTGTTTTTGAACAGTTGAAAATGGACTGAACTCATGGGCTTCATTAACATATCAGCTAGTTGATCTTTGGATGATAGAAAACATACGTGCAATTTCTTTTGAAAAACATAATCATGCACATAATGAAAGTCTATTTGTATGTATTTTATTTTTGCATAGAACACCGAATTTGAAGTAAAGTAAATTGCACCAATCAATCACGTCAAAGTTTGNGAACAGTTGAAAATGGACTGAACTCATGGGCTTCATTAACATATCAGCTAGTTGATCTTTGGATGATAGAAAACATACGTGCAATTTCTTTTGAAAAACATAATCATGCACATAATGAAAGTCTATTTGTATGTATTTTATTTTTGCATGGAACACCGAATTTGAAGTAAAGTAAATTGCACCAATCAATCACGTCAAAGTTTTGATGAATGTTAAATTGGTAAACCAAGATCAATAAGAATTGATTGAAGCCATTAAATTTCTGTTGCAGTATTTGACAAACTTGTATTTAGCCTCTGTACTGCTTCGTGCAATAGTGAACTATGGCTTACAACTCTAAGTAATCAAGTTTTGGCCATGGAAAACATAATAGACACCAACAAATCGCCTATCATCTCTCTCTCTCGCCCAATCAACTTCTAAGAAACCTTGCAATTCGTGAGAACTTTTTTGTGCTAAAAGATAAGTTCATCAAAGATAGTATGATTGAGATACCACAATATCCTCTTTACAACCTGACAGTGAGACTCCTNCTATGGCTTACAACTCTAAGTAATCAAGTTTTGGCCATGGAAAACATAATAGACACCAACAAATCGCCTATCATCTCTGTCTCTCGCCCAACCAACTTCTAAGAAACCTTGCAATTCGTGAGAACTTTTTTGTGCTAAAAGATAAGTTTATCAAAGATAGTATGATTGAGATACCACAATATCCTCTTTACAACCTGACAGTGAGACTCCTTGGGTTAGTGCATAAACTTATTTACACGATTAACTGCGAAGGCAATATCAGATCACATGAATGCCAAGTATTGAAGACCACCAACTATATTTCTATATATAATTGCGGATCATCCAATTCTAGACCCTCGAATTTTAAAAGTTGACACGTAACAGACATAAGGGTGATGCAAGGTTTGACTTTATCTAGATATGACTTGCGTAAGAGCTCAACAACATATTTTTTCTGTGTNACCACCAACTATATTTCTATATATAATTGCGGATCATCCAATTCTAGACCCTCGAATTTTAAAAGTTGACACGTAACAGACATAAAGGGTGATGCAAGGTTTGACTTTATCTAGATATGACTTGCGTAAGAGCTCAACAACATATTTTTTCTGTGTGAGGAACACGCCACTAGCAGTTCGTAGTGCTTATACACCAAGGAAGATACATAGCTCACCAAGTTGTTTGATAGCAAGTTGTCTGATCCTGCAATTATTATGTCATCTACATAAATTATGAAGAAAATTCAAAGATGATCTTGCTGAAAAACATTGAGGGAATTATTTGATTTAGAGTCAACAAAGCCTAGCGATTGTAGTTTGTGTATGAGGTGTGAGAACCAAGCCCTTGATGCTTGCCGTTGTCCATAAAGACTTTTGTAAAGTCGGCAAACATGAGGAGGGTAATATGGATGCACAAAGCCAGTCGGTTGACTCATATAAACTTATTCTTGGAGCANCAATTATTATGTCATCTACATAAATTATGAAGAAAATTCAAAGATGATCTTGCTGAAAAACATTGAGGGAATTATTTGATTTAGAGTCAACAAAGCCTAGCGATTGTAGTTTGTGTATGAGGTGTGAGAACCAAGCCCTTGATGCTTGCCGTTGTCCATAAAGACTTTTGTAAAGTCGGCAAACATGATGAGGGTAATATGGATGCACAAAGCCAGTCGGTTGACTCATATAAACTTATTCTTGGAGTTAACCATGTAAGAACACATTGTGGGTGTCGATTTGTTGAATTGGTCAATTATGTGANCATATAAACTTATTCTTGGAGCAAACCATGTAAGAACACATTGTGGGTGTCGATTTGTTGAATTGGTCAATTATGTGATAGTGCAATAGAAAGTACCAAACGAATAGTTTTAGGTTTAACAATTGGACTAAATGTTTCTTTGAAATCAACCCCTCGCTGCTGGTGATATCCCTTTGCTACTAACTGGGCTTTTGTACTAGTGTATGCTACCATTTGTCTTTCTCTTTATTCTGTAAACTCACTTACAGTCTACTAGGTTTACATTTGATTTTGGTGGTTCAAATGTCCAATTATCGTTTCTCAACAAGGCGTCAAACTCAGTGTTCAATGTTCATATAAAACAACACGTGTAACAAAAAATCAGTCTCAACATATAATAAGAATTAGAAAAAAACTTAAAAAATATCTCCTCGCCACAATAGCCAACCTAATAATATTAGATGTTGAAGGCTAAAATATCAGATGGATTGTAAAACCTCTTTTTGTAAATTGGATTAATTTATATGTTTTTCTATTTTGAATCGATCGTTAAAGTTCTTTTTTAAGATTGAACTAATTTATATGTTTTAATTCGGTTTGATCATATTCCATATAACGTACTAAATGTTTCTTAAACCAATTTATTCATGTGATTTCTGTGGAGCCTATGTAAATATAGAGCCCTAGCACAAACGCCTTACTCGTTTAGCGATTGTGCCACCTTGTCTATGAGTCTATCACCAACCTTCCNGTTTCTTAAACCAATTTATTCATGTGATTTCTGTGGAGCCTATGTAAATATAGAGCCCTAGCACAAACGCCTTACTCGTTTAGCGATTGTGCCACCTTGTCTATGAGTCTATCACCAACCTTCCCCTCCCGAACATGTTCTTCCTCCCCTTCTCTTCCTCCTACAAATTTCCTTCTCAAAAAAGCCATCGTCAAACCCCCCACCACATATCTCTCATTCTCACCACACCACAATCACCACTTTTAAGACCCGGTTCATGCATGGATTGCATTTAAAAGTTTTAGATTTTCAACTTTCAAGGGTATCAATTTGTGTTTGTGTACGTATTTTAGCAATAATAGTTGTTAGGTATAATTAAATCCTATAAAGTTGGTGTTAATCCTTTTAATACATGGCGTGACATTACCAAGGCACGATAAACATCCACCCCAAATGAAACCCCCCAACCACGATCTTGTTTGTAATAACTNAAAGTTGGTGTTAATCCTTTTAATACATGGCGTGACATTACCAAGGCACGATAAACATCCACCCCAAATGAAACCCCCCAACCACGATCTTGTTTGTAATAACTACGTGCCATTACCATTTCTAGATGGCATCCCCATCACCTACCCCCCTGCCTTGCAATCTAGAACAAACACAAAGACCAGAAACAACAGCACCACCAAGGCAATGTACAACTGCATGTGACAATACATTATAATTACTTCTTAAAATTTGATGATGCACAAATTAATTTTGTACACCAGTTGTCAAGTGATTAATAACAAATGTAGTAATTAAGTAGAGAAAGTAACTGAAATGAGGCAAAGACGTACAGTGTTTGGTCAACGTGACTTACGTCCACTATGAAGGGTTAGAATGACCTGGTATTTTATTACTTCGAGGAGTATAGGAAGAGCAGAGAGATACAAGCTATGAGAGAGAGTGGACAGTGATAGCAAATATGCTCGATTGTGTGTGATGCCCCCCAAATATTGGCGAACTTACAATTTATAGTCGCCTTCTAACAGATTGAGTCGGTTTATCAGTAACTAAAATGTTAATTTACTGGAGCTGACTCTATCTTTTCAACGGATGAGGTAATTATGGTGCACCCTATAAGATCCGATCAAAGGATGACGTATTGGTTGACTTCTTCAAAGACGACGTGGATGAGACTCTTAAATNCTCTATCTTTTCAACGGATGAGGTAATTATGGTGCACCCTATAAGATCCGATCAAAGGATGACGTATTGGTTGACTTCTTCAAAGACGACGTGGATGAGACTCTTAAATGACCCTTACTCAAAGGTGGCTTGGATGAGGCTCTTGAGATGACTCTATCTACTCCCTAGGTCATGTAGCCCTTCGAATCTTGATGAGCTTGATTGGGCGTGGACCTCTTTTGGGCTAAACCCATTGGATCTTGTCTAGTTAGATTCTTTATTCATACTGGACTTATAACATGATTGGGGCCCTTGGGTTTAGCCCATCATTTGTCCCCCAATACCTTGTGTCCAATGAAACTTGGAGAAGAGGGTATTTGGTTGGATTTGAACTTTGGCTGATGGAGACTCCTTTTGACTGATGACCCATTATCTTTCTTGATACAGTTCATGACCATGAGTGGTTGCAAGTTGAGTGAGGCCAGGGAGGTTACTCGTGAGCTAGGTGACCAGAGGCCGCTATTGGTTGAAGGAGGAGAAATGCAAGAAGTCATTGTCATCAGAGATGAGGTAGGCAATGACAGAGCAATCGACGTTAAAGCTAACGTGCATGCTGGTGTCGGCAAGGCAACAAGTGTTGGTGAGCTTGCGTACTCTATGGGCATCGAGGGCGATGAGGGGTTATAAGTGGGCTATGGTGGTGAGGCGCCAAAGGCACAACTAGGCCTCGAGGATAGGTGAAGACGCCATGGGCACCGCTAAGGGCGAGACACCATGGGCGCCACTAGGTGAGGCGACCCAAGATGCTGATGGCGAGGTGGTGTGGACGTCAGCTGGTGGGCGTGCTAATCATGAAGAGGGCATCGCTGTGGGGTGGGCTAGGCTTGGTCAGGGGAGTACGCAGTGGCATCACCGAGTGCTAAGCATGGCTTGGCGTGTGCGCTGGTGAACGAACGGCGCCGATGGGATCTTTGATTGGGTGAGCCAGGAACGACAACGGCAGATGCTGGACATGGGGCTGCGTAGGAGCAAGAGGAAGGGACACCAAGAGTTAGACACCACGAGGGGGCGTACCATGAATTAGGCGTTAAGAGGCAGGGCGCCATGAGGCTGGTGCCAGGAGTAGGTGACAAATCCTTAGTGTTGGGAGCACGCGTGCCTTGTTTGTGCTAGGTGTTAAGCGCATGAGCGCTGTAACAACGAGGTGGTAGTGTCGGATGGCCGCAAAAAGGATGAGACCCGATTGTTGATATTTAATCTAATGTAGTCCCTTGGATTGCAGACGGCTTGAGTTTCAAGAGCGTGTCAGAGATGGAAAAACAATGTTACTCGAATATCAAAATATCCAACATGATTACTAGAGAGAGGGGCAGACACGTCGGCCAGTAGAGAAATAGATACTACTTGTGTGAGAACAAAGACAGAGTTTGAGGTTACTCGTAAAAGAGCTGCGACTCTTGAGACCGAGCTTCTGGTGATCGTGAGAGAGTTGATAAGCTGGAGGTAGATTGACTGTGAGGCTGTGTCGCATGAGAACATAGGTAGAATATGAGGGTTGCTTATGAGAGAGCTACACTTTTTGAGGCTGAGTTTTAGCGACCCGTGAGAGAGCCGCTAAGCTAGAGGTATAGGTTGTTTGCTTAAGATCAGAATAAAGATATGCCAAGTTTTTGACGACTCGTGAAAGAGTCACTAAGCTGGAGCCATAGGCTGCCTGCTTGAGAACAGAACAGATATAGGTAAAGCTCTTGGCAACCCGCGAGAGAGCCGCTAAGCTGGAGACAAAGGTTGTTTGCTTGAAAGTAGAGTAGAAATAGGCGAAGCTCTTGGCAACCTGCGAGAGAGCCTCTAAACTAGAGACATAGGCTGCCTGCTTGAGAGCATAGCAGAGATAGACCAAGTTCTTGGCGACCCGCAAGGGAGTCACTAGGCTGAAAACATAGGCTGCCTACTAAAGAGCAGAGCAGAGATAGGTCAAGCTCTTGACGACCCGTGAGATGATTCACCTTGCCTGGACTTGTTGATTTTCTCAGCATTCATATATTTTTGAGTTTTTGCCAATAGTTCTAGCATGCTCTTTGGTGGTTGCTTAATTACCAAAAAAAGAAAATTCGATAAATAGAGGCCTCCCAGAAAGGCGATCATGATGACTTTGTGATTAAGCTCCTCGATTTAGAGGATCTTCCCGTTAAAACGAGTGAGATAACTCCTCAGACTCTCATCTTGATCCTATTTTACGTTGAGTAGATGGGTGGCAGGCTTCTGCTGGCGACGTCTACCAATGAACTATACCACAAAGGAACTGCTTAATTCGATGAAAGGGCCTATGGAAGGCTGGGATGAGTTTAGCGAACCACTGTCGGGCAGATCCCTTCAAGGTAGTTGAAAAATCCTTAAGCATAATTTCGTTAGGAACATTGTGCAACTACATCAACGACTTGTAAGTTTCAAGGTGATCAAGTGGATCTTTTGTGCCATCAAAGGTTTTGACGGATGACATTTTGAACTTTTAGGAAATAGGGTAGTTTTCCACATCTAGCACAAAAGGTGTGTCAGTTAATCTTACGAGGCACTCTATAGTTTCTGGTCCTTATGCCTTCATGGCATTGAAGACGTAGCCCAACTGATTCTATACTTCTTTGATTTTTTTGTCATAGTGATTTGGGGCTCATTTGGAATTGTCATGGAAATGGTTCTCATGCTCCACACTTTGATTCTTGCCCTCATCCTCTTGAAAATGAGGGTCTCTACCATGGGAAGAGGGAGCTGGAGAAGGAGGTGGAGCTCCTTCATGATTCTGACGAAAAGCTCCCCTATATGGGGCTCCCAAGGGGGTGCTTGAGTGGGGAGCTCCTTGACGCCCAAGGCGTAGAGCTTCTCTGACTTGATGCCCTCTAGGCTGTACTCCTCCTTGTTATCCAGTAAGCATCAGTTGCAGGATCTGCTGATTCTGAGTCACGAGCTACTGCATTGTTTCTCGCATCTACTGTGCATTCGAAACAGGATTGATTGGTGGAGGGGCAACATCCTTCTCTCGTGGTGGATTGTCTTCAGGCTGATTCATGGATTTGGTGGTGATCGCTAGGTACAACAAGAAAAGTGATTAAGTGACAATTTTATCGATTCTCACATACGACACCAAACTAATGATGATTTTGTACACCAGCTGTCAAGTGATTAATAATAAATGCAATAATTAAGTAGAAAGAGAGGGCAACTTAAGTGAGGCAAAGATGTAGAGTGGTTCAGTCAACGTGACCTGCGTCTACTATAAAGGGCTAAGATAACCTGTTATTTTATTACTTCGAGGAGTGTAGGGAGATACAAATTATTAGAGAGAGTGTAGAATGATAGCAGATATACTCGATTGTGTGTGATGCCACCCAAATATTGGTAGAACTTATAATTTATAGTCGTCTCCTACTAGATTGGGGCAGCTTATCAGGAACTAAAAGGTTAATTTGGTGGAGTTGGCGCCATCTTCTCAGTGGATGAGTCAATTACGGTGCTCCTCATAAGATCTGGTCAAAAAATGACGTGGTGGTTGACTTCTTCCAAGGCGCTTGTGAATGAGACTCTTAGATGACCCTTACTTCAAGGTAGCTTGGTTGAGGCTTTTGAGATAACCCTACCTACTCCCTTGGTGATGTAGCCCCTCGAATCCTGATGAACTTGATTGGACGTTGACCTTTTTTGGGTTGGACCCATTGGATCTTGTCTAGTTAAATTCTTTATTCAGACTGAACTTATAACATGAGTTGGGTCCTTGAGCCTGACTCATCAAAATTTATCTCCTGTTTTAAAATGGTCATTTAATTATCTTAATTTAATTTCTCAACTATCAATTTTGTGTTAATAAAATTATTCCATCCATTTCACTAATTCAAACAAAACGAAGGTACGTGACGCGAAAAGCCACATGACAAATACATGGATTTGTCTTCGTTTGTTTTAACTGGTGAAATAGACGAAATAACATTGACATGAAATTAATTGTTATAATAAACTAAATTAAGATTTGAAACAACTAAAAGTTGATGAACCATTTTAAAATAAGAGGTAAAATATAAGTATTCACTATGATATTTTCCCTAATTTTTACATGCTTACGCCGAAAGAAGATCACAAGGAGTTCCTGACACTAAAATTCAACATAATAAGAACTGAGTCAATTTCATAGAGTTAAATACACAATTTTTGAAGAGTAATGTTATTTGGACATAAAAATTTGACATAATTTATTGACAGAATGATGTGATTTCAATAGAACCATTAGTTCATCATTAAGTTTTAATATTTAGTGGACCCCACAATCAATCTATATATCATAGTGAATTAGGTCAATAAATTAAATTTCAATAATATTGCTCATTTTTTAAAAGAATAATTTTGGTGGCTCTAACCAAACACTTGTTGCAATAAAACATTGCCGTGTCTAAATCTTCATTCCAATAAGAGAGATTTAAACCTGGCTGGAATGACAAGTAGGTGGTTTACTAAAGTAAAACGGCACTTCAGACAGCCTCAAGTTCTAACAAAGAGGTGCATGAATGAGGATGAATCCATCCCCCAAGCCAAAAAAATGGAGAAGATAAAGTTGGTTTGAACTTTTGACTTATAATATTAAAGGCGAGTTTAAGTGATAATAAGAACGAAATGGATATTTAAATGTCTCGAGTTGGAAATTGGATGATTTGTTGGAATCAAGTTTGTTGTGATCGTGCAACAATTATGGTGAATAGTAAGGAATCAAACAATTAAGAAAGCAGGAGAAAAAAAACACACAGAGATTTACGTGGTTCGGCAATGTGCCTACATCCACGAGAGCGAGCGGTCGTTCTTTTCCATTATTGAAGTAGGGTTACATCTTAAGTATTTATATAACCCTAATATGGACGTATTTACAAAAATACCCTTGTACCGTACCGCGGGGGCGTTGCCCCCGCACCCCCAACTAATCAGCGTCCTCTTTATATAAATCCCACAAGGCAGATGCCGTCGCAGGCTCCGCTACGCTCCGACATCTGCCTCCTTGCCATTATGCACACAGCAAATATGAGCCACACATACTCTAACAATCTCCACCTTGACAATATATGAGCCCCTTAGAAGAAAAAAGAGGACATGTATTCAGGAACTCCACCGGGGACGCTGAGTTGAGGCATCTCCCATCTAGCAACTAGAGACATTAATCAAGTCCAAGCAGTGCTTGAACTTGTCTGTAGTAACAGGCTTTGTCAACATGTCTGCTGCATTCTCAGAAGTGTGAACTTTCTCAAGTAATAGTTCACCAGAAGAAACCAGTTCCCTGATCTTATGAAACCTCACATCTATATGTTTGGTCCTCGCATGATACACCTGGTTCTTTGCCAAATAAATGGCACTCTGACTGTCACAATGCAATTGAACTCCACCTTGCTGGGCACCCAGCTCCTTGACTAAACCTGTAAGCCACAAAGCCTCTTTGGCAGCCTCAGCTACTGCCATATACTCTGACTCAGTAGTAGATAGTGCAATTATAGGCTGTACCATGGACTTCCAACAAATAGGTCCTCCCACAAGAGTAAACACATAACCTGTGGTAGACCTCCTGTCATCCAAGTCCCCTGCATAGTCTGCATCCACATATCCCATAACTGAAGGGTCACTCTGTTGTCTGCTAAACCTGATGCCATAGTCTGTAGTGCCCCTCAAGTATCTGAAAATCCACTTGACTGCATCCCAATGCTGTCGACCCGGATTTGAAAGAAACTTGCTAACCACGCTGACAGCTTGTGCCAAATCTGGTCTTGTACAAACCATAGCATACATCAAACACCCCACTGCACTAGCATATGAGACCTTTGACATGTCATGAACTTCATCATCTGTCTTCGGGCACTGAGCGGTAGACAATCTGAAATGATTCGCCAAAGGTGTACTTACTGATTTTGCATAACTCATGCTGAACCTGTCCAACACCTTCTCAACATAGCTATGCTGAGATAGCCATAATCTCCTGGAAGCTCTGTCCCTGCGAATCTCCATCCCAAGAATCTTCTTGGCCGCACCCAAATCCTTCATGTCAAATTCTCTACTCAACAAAGTCTTCAACTTGTTGACCTCACTCATACTCTTGGCAGCAATCAACATATCATCCACATAAAGTAACAGAAAAATAAATGAATCATCATCAAGCCTTTTTACATAGACACAACAATCATACTCACACCTTTTGTAGCCAATTCGGATCATGTAAGAGTCAAATCGTTTGTACCACTGCCTCGGAGACTGCTTCAGCCCATAAAGTGATTTCTTCAAATTACAGACCAAATGTTCCTCTCCAGGGAGACTGAACCCTTCTGGCTGTACCATGTAAATCCGTTCCTCCAAGTCGCCATGAAGGAAAGCTGTCTTTACATCCATCTGCTCCAACTGCATATCTGAATGTGCTACTAGTGCCAACACTGTCCTGATGGAAGTGTGTCTGACCACGGGGGAGAAGATCTCATCATAGTCAACCCCTTTTCTCTGTGAGTAACCCTTTGCTACTAGACGAGCCTTGAATTTTTCTCCCTCATTTTCTGATACTGCTTCTTTCTTCTTATACACCCATTTGCACCCTATTGCTCTCTTCCCCTCGGGAAGTTCCACCAACTCCCACGTCTGGTTCTTATGCAGAGACTCCATCTCCTCCACCATAGCACCCATCCATCTACTTTTCTCTTGGCTTTGTACTGCCTCCTGAAAAGTTGTAGGATCCCCGCTACTAGTAATAAGCGCATAAGAAACCAAATCTTCAAAACCATACCTGGTAGGTGGCTTGATATTGCGTTTGGGCCTGTCTGTGGCTATACTATGATGCTGTTGATCACCTGAGATAGAACGCTCTACATGCTGAGCATCCTCTTCTTTACCATGATTCTCTAGCTCCACCTGCACCACATGGTCATTAGTGCTACAGTTTTCTGGTACTTGTTTCTCTTCTTCCTGAGTACGCTGCAACATGGCTTTTTCATCAAAAACCACATCTCTACTGATCACCATCTTGTTTGCCTTCGGATCCCAGAGCTTGAAGCCTTTCACTCCTTTCTGATATCCCAGAAAGATACACTGTCTAGACTTCGCATCAAGCTTCGACCTCTCCTCACTAGAAACATGTACATAGGCTGGACATCCAAACACTCTCAAACCAGAGTAGTCTACCTCACTGCCTGTCCACACCTCCTCTGATACTTTCCCATCTAGTGCTGCCCTCGGTGATCTGTTAATCAAGAAACATGACATATTCACTGCCTCTGCCCAGAAATTCTTTACAAGCCTTGCATTCAACCTGAGACACCGAGTTTTCTCGGCTATCGTTCGGTTCATCCTTTCCGCTACACCATTTTGTTGTGGTGTCTTGCGGACTGTAAAGTGTCTCTTGATCCCATGCTGCTCACACAACTCCTGGAACTTTGAATCTGTGTACTCAGTACCATTATCTGACCTGAGGCATTTAATCTTCTTCCCTGTCTGGTTCTTTACTTCAACTTTCCACAGCTTGAACTTGACAAACGCTTCTGACTTGTGCCGCATGAAGTACACCCAGACCTTTCGTGAGTAATCATCAATGAAACTCACGAAATACATGTATCCTCCCCGTGATAGTACGCTAACTGGTCCCCAAACATCTGTATGGACATAGTCGAGAACCCCCTCTGTCTTGTGTGTGGCTGTCTTGAACTGCACCCTATTCTGTTGTTCAAGAACACAATATTTGCAAAAATTGAGCTTGCATGTCTTGACACCCTTCAATAGATTTTTCTTATGAAGCTCTATCATCCCACGCTCACTCATATGACCCAGCCGCATATGCCACAAGACTGTATTATCTGATTCAGACTCTACAGCAGCAACTCCACCTACAATTGTAGTACCCAACAGTCTGTAAATGTTTCCTACTACTTTCTGTCCCTTCATCACTGTCAGCATGCCTTTACTTACTTTCATTACTCCACTTATAGATTTGTAACTATAACCATTACAATCCAAAGTGCCCAATGAAATCAAATTCTTCCTTAGATCCGGTACATGTCTAACATCACACAACGTTCTAACCATACCATCAAACATCTTAATTCTAATATTTCCTATTCCAACAACTTTGCAAGATGCATCATTACCCATCAGAACAGAACCAGAATTTACTGACCTGTAGGTGTCAAACCAATCTTTGTTGGGTGTCATGTGATAGGAACATGCTGAATCCATAATCCAAGAATCTGTTAAACGATCTGAACTAGATAAAACAGAAAGCATATCTCCGTCACCACTCTCTGAATCTTCTTCTTCCACTACGTTTGCAGACTTTGATGCACCCTCTTTGTTCTCTGAATCCCCTTTCTTTTTCTCTGGACAGTCCCGTTTAAAGTGCCCCTTTTTCCCGCACTTGTAACACGAGACAGAGACGTCCTTCTTCTTCTTCCTCGACTTGGACCGGGCTTTATTGTTACCCGATCCATTCCGAGATTTGCTTCTTCCACGTTCCTGGTTACCTTTCACCACAAGCCCTTCACCTTGTGAAGCCTCATCACTGGCTTTCTTCCGCTGATGAAAACCTAACAGAGCACCTGTGACATCCTCCAATTCGAGGGTTTCTTTCCCCCACATCAGAGTCGTAACCAAATTCTCGTACGTAGGAGACGCCGGTAGGGAATTCAGCAACATCAGCGCCTTGTCTTCGTCTTCGAACTTCACATCAACTCGCTTCAGATCGCTGATGATCTGATTGAACACGTTGATGTGTTGGGTCAAATCCGAGCCCTCTGACATCTTAAGACCATATAATTTTTGCTTAAGATAGAGCTTGTTCGTCAACGACTTGGACATATACCAACTTTTCAGTTTCAACCAAACTTCTGCCGGTGATTCCTCATCCATGACGTGATACATCACGTCATCAGCCAGACAAAGCCTAATAGTCGCCACAGCCTTCGCTTCCAATTTTTTCCAATCCATGTCGTCCATTCCTGCCGGTTGTTTTCCGTATAATGCCTTCACCATGCTCTGCTGCACTAACAAGTCCTTCACCCTCCTCTGCCATAATTCGAAATTCCCAGTTCCGTCGAACTTCATGATGTCGAATTTTGTAGAGGAAATCTCAGACATCGTAGTCTAGCTCTCATACCAATTGTTGTGATCGTGCAACAATTATGGTGAATAGTAAGGAATCAAACAATTAATAAAGCAGGAGAAAAATAACACACAGAGATTTACGTGGTTCGGCAATGTGCCTACATCCACGAGAGCGAACGGCCGTTCTTTTTTATTATTGAAGTAGGGTTACATCTTAAGTATTTATATAACCATAATATGGATGTATTTACAAAAATACCCCTGTATCGTATCGCGGGGGCGTTGCCCCCGCACCCCCAACTAATCAGCGTCTTCTTTATATAAATCCCGCAAGGCAGATGCCGTCGCGAGCTCCGTATCGCTCCACTCTGCTATGCTATGCCCGCTCCGACATCTGTCTCTTTGCCATTATGTACACAGCAAATATGAGCCACACATATTCTAATAAAGTTAAAGAAAAATTTATCTTTTTTGAATATTTTAATCTCGACATAAACAACTTATTTTTGTTCAAATTAAAAATTAAATTAAATAAAATACATATAAACGGATCAAAACAACTTGTAAAAAATGGCGAAGAACTTTTGACTCGTGAAGCAAGACCACCCCAAAATGTAATTTGACACGCAACACCTACTCTGCACAAAAAAACACAAGAACAAATGAACAATTAGGTCAGGGCTGAGGTCACTTTTGTGCCATGTGCCATGTGGCGTTTTGTAAAAACTAGTTGGAACAATGTACATGGACCATTCGATTTGTTTGGGTAAGTATCCATGGACCATTTCGTTTTTTTTCATTTTCTTGTCTTTTTTTTTTGCTATGATTGATGTTGATTTCACTATTATTTAAAACTCATAAATAAGACTAATAAAATTAAATTTAAATAATTTTTTTTTTTTTGGGAAAAATAACGTTTTGTCATTACAGTCATTCAAACCTAATGACAAGTAGGAAAGATGACGTCAATAGATCTTTCAATCCATTGGAAATTAGAACTAGTTAAATATTTAGGATTAATTATAAAATATTCTCTTTAATTTTGAATAGTTTACAACTCACTCTTTTTAGATTTTAATTCTAACAAATAGTTGCTTTTAAATTTTGAATATTTTGTAATTAAGTATAATAGTTATTTTTAAACAATAAAAATTGACAAAAATTTAAACATGTCAAATTCACGTTATTCTTATTTTATTGAAAAAAGATAATTACTCTAATACCAATTTTTCAATTGTACCAAATATTCATTCTTTTCCTTTTACATTTATACCCTTCCATCCTCCACTACCACGAGATAGTTAGTTCTCAATTCCCTCCCATTTTTTGGGTACAGTATTGAAACTTACTCGCAAAGAAAAAAAATTTATTTAAATTAAAAATATTTGACATTTTAGTTAAATTTTTCAATTCGATCAAAAACACGGACACTACGGTAATCATTCACTCTAAGAAGTTGCTCCATCCAAGAAATTGCTATGATACGAACAAGTTGCGTCTAAAATCGCCGTACGTAACAGTCAGTCAACAGCGCACTACCACAAGACCTATTTCTTCGAGTCCCCCAAAAAATAATTAAATGAAAAACAACGACTGAAGAAGTTTCACCATTAGCACCACCGTCCGATTTCTTAATCTTCGCCGGAGTAGGTATCAACTTATGGGTTCCCACTCCAAGACCAATACCGTGCACGTGGTGGCCGTGCCTTATCCCGGCAGAGGCCACATCAACCCTATGATGAACCTCTGCAAGTTAATAATTTCTGATTACAACTTTCTCATCACCTTCGTCATCACAGAGGAATGGTTAGGCTTCATCGGATCCGAGGTCAAGCCGCCTAATATTCGCTTCGCTACCATTCCTAACGTCTTGCCCTCCGAGCTGGTTCGGGCAGCCAACATGCCCACGTTCATCGAGGCGGTTTTCACCAAAATGGAGGAGCCGTTTGAGCAGCTTCTCACTCGGCTGGAGCCGCCGGCGACGCTCATCATAGCCGATACGTTCCTAAAGTGGGTGGTTGACGTCGGTAATCGGAGGAATATTCCGGTGGCGTCACTTTGGACGATGCCGGCGTCGGTGTTTTCGATCTTTTACCATTTTGACCTTCTTGTCCAGAATGGGCATTTTCCCGCTGAATTGGCCGGTAAGTGAGATAAAAGTAATTTAAGCCATTATTCTTAATTAGTTGTATATATATATATATTTTTGTTTTTTTATCATTATTTATTTATTATTATTTTTTTTTTTGAGGAGGAGCAGAGGACGAGGCTTTAACCCTTGACCAGACTTCAAGAATGATTTCAATATGGGAGAATTTTTACAAAAATAAAGAACATCATTAAAGCAAAGTCCGTTGTTATATAGAATTTACTCTCTGTCCCATCTCCCAAGTCCCAAATAACAAAGATGAATATTATTTATTAATATAATTATTTTTGTCCGATGATTGATAGTAAAACCCAATCTACTAATGGTTGTAACTTGTTATCACAATTACTACCTTCATTTTTTATTTTTAAATATATGTCGTTTTATATAATTTTTTTTATTTAATAATATCTATCGTTTAACGCAATTAAAATTTAATTAATATATTTTTTTTAAATTTATCCTTAATTTTTTAATGTATTATATTTGGTAGAGGTTAAGTGTCTTTCGTATTCCTTTAATTCCCAATACGTATTGAATAAAAATATTTTACTCTTATGTAATTATTTTTTACTCATATTAGAGTTATTTAATAATTTTTTTAATTCCTATACAAAAATTTTAAATGACAAATATTTAGGAACGAATGGAGTATAATTTATGGGTGTGTAATTTTCACTCTTTAAATATCTTTTTTTACCCCCATTTCTTAATCTTCTTATGTCAAATTACTAAATTAACTCTATTTATACTTACCCTATTAATGAGTTAATAAATTCATCGCATTTATACCCATTCAATTAAATTATTAAATATATGTAAAAAAAAAATAGAAACAAAAATAATAATTGAAGCGAAATTTCAATGTTAGAGTTGATCTATATTATTTTGAGATATTTTGATATATTTCATCAATGTTGTTAGAATATTTTGATTAATATTTTAAAAATAATTATTAATTTTTATTCTGTTTCTAAAATATTTTTATACCGAAATAAAATTTTGATCATTCTCTATATAGTAAGTTGAAATAAAATTGAATGAATTTAATTTTTAATTAGTGAATATAAACATGATAAATTTAGTAACTAATGGAATAAGTACAACGGAGTTGAATTTAGTAGTTTGAAGTAAAATAATTAAATAAGGTGGAAAATTAGATTTAAATAGTGAGAATAACCCCACACATAATTTATTAATTTAACAAATTAAATATAAATAATATTTTTCAATAACAACCTATCACACAATTTATTTTAAAAAAATCACTTTTCAGAAAAAATAAATAAAATCTAAGTGATTGATTTGTTTGGCCCGAAATACCGAAGTCGTAACAAGGTGGTTGTACTAAAAGTGCGGCAAGATTACCTCTTTTTCAAGAAGAACTGATATTTTGGTTTTCACATTGCTCGACACCCAAAAAGAAAGGTTATGTCTGGATGAAACTTAGAGATGAAATTTTTTTTTTGTTTTTGAACAGTGAAGTAAGATCAAGTTCACCAACTTATTATTCTAAGTAAGAACGTAGTTTTATATCTTACAAATGATGCCCTTTAGTATGTCGGTGAACATTTTTTTTAGTCGTGTTTTTCAAGCTTATCGTTTTTAAGTTTTTTGTTTTCAAATATAGTGATGATAATGACTATAACAATTTCGGTCTCATGCATGAATGAATCATGATAGACAGAGGAGAGGAGCGTGTAGACTACATCCCCGGAATTTCTTCAATACGACTAGTAGACCTTCCGACAATTATCTACAGCAAGGATCAAAGGCTCTTACGTTTGGCCCTCTTAGCTTTTCCCCATGTATCCAAAGCACAATATCTTCTGTTCACCTCCATCTTTGAGCTTGAATCGCAAGTAATCAACGCTTTAAAACCGAAATTTTCGATTCCAATCTATTCTCTAGGCCCAGTGATACCTTATTTCAATCTCAAAGACAATTCCTCTTACACAACTAGCCACAGCAATGAGGGTAACCATAACCATTTCAAATGGTTAGACTCTCAACCTCCAAATTCTGTATTGTACGTATCGCTGGGGAGCTTTCTTTCGGTTTCAAGTGCCCAAATGGAAGAAATTGCAGCAGGGTTGCACGATAGTGGTGTACGCTATTTGTGGGTGGCTCGTGGGGATGCTTCGAGGTTGAACGAGAGGTGTGGTGATTTGGGGATGATAGTACCCTGGTGTGACCAGTTGAAGGTGTTATGCCAATCTGCGGTAGGGGGATTTTGGACTCATTGTGGGTGGAATTCTACGATGGAAAGCGTTTTTGCAGGCGTACCCATGCTTACTGTTCCTATACTGATGGATCAAGTCCCGACCAGTAAGTTTATTGTCGAAGATTGGAAGCTGGGGTGGGAATTGAAGAGAGAGATGGGTGAGGAAAATTTGCTGAAAAGAGAAGAAATTGCTAAACTTGTGAAGAGATTTATGGATTCGGAGAACACAGAGAGGACAGAAATGCTGAGGAGGGCAAAGAAATTTCAAGAAATGTGTCAAGAAGCAATTGCTGGAGGGGGATCATCTGAAAGAAACCTCACTGCTTTTATTGGTAACATTACACAAAGCTGAGTATTCAGCTGATTAATGTACTTTGCTTAAGTGAGTGAATTGGAAAATTCAGTTGACAAGCTGATGCTCTCTATTTTTATTTTTTGCTTCCCCTTTTGTGCACTTTAGGTGATTCTTGGTGTTCTTATGTTTCTCCATTTTCATTCGCTGCTAAATAGCAAGAACTACACTAAAATGAAATACAGGACAAACATATGCAAATCATGTAGGGCAAATATTGCAACAAATTTACCTTAGTAACATGAAGTTTGATGTCTTCGATGATTGGAGGAACCAAATGAGTGACATCTTCCCTGCAAACTGCCTCCGCCCGGGCAATAAAACTCGATATTGTTGTACTCCATAGGAAGCCTCCAGACAGCCAAACCCTGCCATGTAGAGGAGACAAGGCCATGGTAATCTTCTTCTACCACGTGGACGAGTTACCAGTCCTGTGCCTGGCCACTCACTGGTTGGAAAAATTGTAACTATCAATTCTCTTTTAACACCATCCTATATTCCTCATTAGTCAGTATTGCTCAAGCAATCCAACAATTTAGCAGAAAGATCGCTTGAACGCAGCGAATGTTTGACTAAAGTAAGAACACCCAATGGGCTGAATTGAACATTTTTATGGATAAATTTATTCCAGATCTTCCAAACTGTTCAGATATTAACCACAGTAAAATCTTGAAGCCATGAATCTATTACATACAATCCAGTAATCAAACACCAAACCAGCCTGAGGATAGAAAAAGGGTCTCCCATACCATACCATTGTAGCTGGTTTACTTTCTAGACGCAAATTGATTCAGAAATTGCAGGGCTTGTGCAGAAGTTCATGAATTCAAAATGTGGAGAGAAACAAGAAATGATTGAAAGAGCAAGGGTACTTCGGGACATTACTGAAAGAGAATGGCAGATCATTTGAAACTAACTTCAATGCTTTTATGGGGGATCTCCTCCAGGACCATGAACAATAAGCAGAGTGTCCTTATGCTCCTAAGACTTGCTGCGATAATTTTACCTTGGTGATCGAAGTTATAGATAGCCTAGTGGGAGGTTGCCTATGCAGAGTAGCTGAACATCGTGCATGGGTTGAAAGTTGAGAGCAGAAAGTTTGTACTTATTAAAAATAAAATAAACACCAACAGATATTTGGTTCATTCCAACCACCAATGAACACAACAAGGCATCAAAACCAGCTAGCTTCACAATGCCTACCTCTTCCACTCGAATAATTTTATATTTTGGCAGATTTGAGAACATGAGAACAGCGTATATACCATACTACCTGGATACATGGAGACGCCAGTAATGATGTCTATCGTCATGAGAGTTCAGGCACTGAATCACAAATGAACTGATCCACAGAACAAAAACCAAAACAAGCTAATTCACTGAATCTAACAGGAAATTGCATTTCAAATCAGATAAAAATTAAGGGTTCAGCAGCCAACATTAATGCCACAAAGAGCAATCAAGAACCATTCTGTTAACATAAACATACACTCCAAATCCCAAAACCCAAATCCGATTTAGGCACAACATCCTTAAACTATCTATGAATAGAACACTCCCTAACTATTTCTTCTTGGTGTTCACACCATTATCATTATTCCCTCCCGCAGCCGCCTGTGCTGCTTTTCGAGCTGCCTTCTCTTGAAGTGCCTTTGCATCCCTGGAAACACAATCAAACACCCAATTCAGAAATAAAAGCTTTGAAACCACCCAGTTTCAATTGATACAGAGGGAGGAACAACTTTTCTCGTCTTTGTTCAGGGGTTAAGCCATCGTCTTTGGGCTGCTTGGTCTTCTGACCTGCCCTGGCTTGAGCCCTTTCGCGATCTCGATCTCTCTGATTACCGCGTTATATTAAGTTAAGGCTGCCCCACAACACATCTTCATCCAATCTAATCATCGCCTTCAATTCCAAGATCCAATTTTTCGCTAAAAAATAGAAACCCTAATTATGCAATCTATAAATAATCTGTTTGGTGGCTGAGAAAATACGGGAAAAAGTACCTCTTGCGACATTCAAAAAATTCAATGTTAAAAGACAAATAACATACGAAAAATTCAACAAATTGAATTATCTAGTGTAAGTAATTAATTAATGTTAGGGCACCACGACAAGAAATAAGAAACTGATTAAAGAAATTTCCCCATCGATTCGTTGCCTCAATTTTCTCAGCAACAAATCCCAGAACCAAAGGAAGAAAATCCCGAAGAAAACAAAAAAAAAATTGTGAAATCTGTCAAAGAAATGAAGAAAGGAAAGGGTGATCTAAAATCAGAGAAAAGAAACATATCAGAAGGATATGAGTCATTCCCGATTCTCGAACAGCCAAACAAAGATCTTAACAACACACTGTTGCAGTCAAGACCCTGAAAAAACACAAATTTTCAACAAAAATCAAAAGACCCATCGATCAATCAATCAATAGGCAACAACAATCTAAACCAGCAAAACAAGAGACATAGGAGATAGACAAAGCGCAGAGAGAGAGAGAGAGAGAGAGTACCTGGTACGAAGCAAGAGAGTGCTATGGCTAACGTTGAAAGCACGGACGATTAACAAATACAGAGGAGGGAATGGATTAATAAATGGAAGAGTTTGTCGCAGCCAGTTGTTCCTCAGAAGAATCGAGAAGCCGCAGAGAGAACAATTTATTGGACTCCATGAGTTATTGAGGTAATTGTATTTTCACACCCAAAAGTTATAAAAATATTTATTTATACCTTTAAAAATTAAATTGTTCATATTTTACCTTCAATAAATTAAAATTGTTGCGAATTGATCATGTGGTTAGCCTCCTTTATTCATTCAGGCAAAATCAACCTATTGATATTGACAAAATAAACAACATAATTTAACAAAAGAATCGCATTATAATATTTTTAATATATTAAGGGGTCAAAGTGAAATTTTTTCCAAGTGAATTTTACATTTCTTTCTTCCAAGATCTTGAAATACAGACATTGTTTTTCTACTAATTCTACGGTTGAGATTGCTGAACTGGCTATTAATTAATGTTTGAGAAATGAAATGAAATGAAACCTCAACGAACGACCAACGTGGAGGCAACAAGGAAGAGGAGTAGGTAAACTTAGAGTAAAAAAACTAGTCTCCAGTCTTATAATTAAGTCTTTAAAAACATAATATGAGAAATATTATATAATTTAAATTTGTAATTAAAATTTGTATTTTAAATGAGGGGAACTATTAGATAAGTGAGTCTCATTAATTTTTTTAAATGAGACTCACTGATTCAATAATCCTCTTTCATTTGAAATACAAATTTAGATTGTAAATTTGAATTATATAACATTGCTCATATAATATACACAAGTCTTTCGTCTTTTTATCCTATATTTTGCGGAATAATTTTTTCTTGACCTATTCTACCCGATCAAGTGTGGTATTCATATCTGACTTCTTATTCGATTAATTAAATAGAAAGTCGAATAAATATTTTTATAATTATTAATTTTTGGATCATTTTAACGACCAAAAATTCTTTCTTTAAATTCAAGGACGCAACCTAAGCTCTATTCAAATTTGTACAAGCCCCAATTGTTGCCCAACTCCTCCAATTGCGAGAATGCCGTCACACAAGAAGCAAAGACAGACACATGTCCATTCCTTATCGGAGTTGCATGAGGACTAACAACACTATTAGGTACAATGCAAAGCTCAGACACAAGCTCCAGATGTTTTGAATTCTAATTTAAGACTTGAAATTTGGGGTTTTTCATGTTTGATATTAACTAGATAAATTTTGAAAGTTTAAAAAAAAAAACAGAGAAGACCTGAACGATGCTTAAAAAAAACAAAAAAAGACTTGAACGATGCTTGAAGATAAGGTTTTGAGGTTCATTAGTTTGATGCTTAAAAAAAAAGAGTAATGCTACACTGATCAAATTTTGGGACCAAATTTGAAGTCTAAATGACATGACAGTTGACTTAGGCTTCTTTATTTGGTGCAATGTCATTTGAGCCCCAATAAAAACTTCAAATAATATGATACCAAATTATTTGAATTCCAAATTTCATCCTAAAATTTGATCAGCATAACATTATTGAAAAAAAATCAGATCTATAGATAAAGGCCACTAGATTGCGTTCAAATAGAGACAGATAGAAAGATAGAGAGAGAGAGAACTTGGGCAGATCGGCACTAAAAGCCGATGGAGGCAAGAGGAGAGAAGTGGTGTGAAATGCTCCCTTAGTCAATAGACAATAAAGTTAGTTAGCAATTATGGTTTTTTTAATTTATATATATAAATTAATTAATTAATATGGATAGAGTAGAGTAGGAATATAAAAATTAATAGGTATTTTATATTTCTAACAGATTTTTGCAGTTAACCATTCAGTAAGATAGGGTCGAGTAAGGTAAGAAATTAAAATAATCAAAAATTTGAACATCCCTAATTACAAGAGAAGAAAATGCACTTAAGTGGTGATAGATAGCTTCATTCATTCTCGGAACACTTCGCCATATGGATTCAAATTCAGATCTCTAAATTTGAGGGTCAAATTTTACTCAAATCTACCATCCAAAAAAATTTATAATGGAAAAAGTAAAGCTTAAGACCGCTTGAGTAGAAAAAGTCATTACGTTGTTGTACATATAAATTGCTTTGTCTAACCTATTGTGAAAATTTTAAAACCGTGAATGAAGATCCAAAATGGACAATAACATTTACAAATAGCCTAGTTCGTTGCAAGTACGGCCAGAAGGGTGATTTGAAGGTCGTGTTTAGACTTGGACTTGTTAATTTTCTTAGGCTCTTAAGAATGCAATATGATGTTAAGTAAATTTTGTTCAAATTTTTCTTTATTAATAAAGAAAAGAAAAGAGCAGGTGGGCATGGGCATGACCCAAGTGACTTCTAGGCCCAAGTATTCTCACAGTGGGTACCATGTGGGCTACTTTTAGGCCCATATAGTTGTGGCATGGTTAATTTTTGGGGTTATATGTGTGGTGGCATGGCTCCTTTGAGTTCTTGACAGTTGTTTTCCCTTATAATTTTGAGCTTGGTATTTTATATGCAAAACTAAGTCATATGCTTGTATGTTCAAACATAAACTATCTCTTAAAGGTATAATTGATCAAATTAAACAAAAAAAATC